TCTTCCCTAGTTTGAGATGACAGGCACAGCAGGAGAAAACTCATAGCTCTTGGATTAGTGGTCCTGCCCTAGCTAATAAAGGGACAGATGAAGTATTTCCTGAAAGAAAAAGTAGATGTGGCTGATCAGGAAAACAGCCCATTCCAGGGAGCTGGAAAGATCTGAAATTCCTGGAGGAATATCCATCCTCACATTAGCATGTGCATTGACAGATGGTGAAGCTTCATATGAGTAGGAATTTTAAGTCACTGCCTTTAACTTGAAAAGATAAACCCCAGGCAGGTTTTGTAGAGCAGCTGGCCCTTCATGGACTGGTTCTTGTGGGGATTTCTTCTTTAAGAAGCTGGAACAGTGGTAGCTGTGAGCACCACAGACAGCACAGCACCTCATTCCCTTTAGTAGTTTTCTCTGGAAAAAGCCTGAAGCAGCAGCAGCAGCAGGAGCTTTCTCCATGCAGGAACTGGAAAATAGCTCAGCAGACTGGCTGGAGAATTTATAAAATTAGAAAAACAAAGCAGCAAAAGGCCTTGGCTCAACAGCATTACTTTTAGACTGTCTGTCTCTTTGAAGTAACTAGTCTTGAATCAGTTTATGAGCACCAGCCAAGACAAACACTGAGGTCCAGTTGGGAGTTTTGCTTCAGAGCAGCATATTCATGCTCTGTAAGGAGATGCAGGGCATGTAGTGGATGTTTTCTTTATCAGCAGCTTTAACCATCCCAAATCTCTCCAGCTCACTGCTAGCACACCCTCCTGACAAAAACTGCAGACATGGATGGGCTGCCTGACACGGTGCTTAGATCAATCCTGCAAAAAATGTGGTAACTGACCCTCTGCAGCAGGAGAAGTGTCACACACCCCCAGAGGGTTCTCAGAAGCCCTGTCCCAGCCCTGGCATGTGCTGAGTGTGCCACAGCAGCAGCTGCTCCAGCTGATGTGCCCCTCGTCTCTGTGGCCTCCCAGGAGACCAAGCAAAGCAAAACACTGCTCACAGAGGATGGCCAGCCAAAAGGACAGGATTCAAAGGGACTTGCTGACCAGAGCAGCCAATCTCAGCAGTTTGTTTAGTTAGGAAAGCCCTTGTCTTCCTACCCCCATCACATATTTTCTGTAAGTGTTAGGAGACGAGCCCTGACTTGCACTTGGCTCCTTGTTGCTACATCTGGCCTTTCAATAAGTGAAGCTCCCACCACAAGATTTAGGGGCAGGGCTGGGTTATCCATGCTGGTTCTTTGTAGACAGGCACACATGTGAACCTGCTTCTTCTCTGTGCAACTGATTGTGTTTGCTTTTTCCACCCCTAGGACCAAGAGGAGCAAGTCAGGAGGACATCTCACAGAATGGGAATGAAGAAATAAAAAAGGGATGCAGTAAAAAAACCCCATTCAGTCAGGCTGCCACCTTTTCTGTTGTTATGCAGGTGATACACAGGTAGCATTGCATTTAGTGGACCTTGGCAGTGGTAGGTTAACAGCTGATGATCTTGGATGATCTTGATGATTTTCCAACCCCATTTCCAATTGAATCTGTGCACCTGTAATAGTGGATGCCACACCACGGGCAGCAGCAGGAACTCTGCAGATTTGGCTTCCCCTAGAGCTGCTCCACTTGGGCACATCCCTGAGGTGACTTCTGTGAGAGGGCAGCTCCCAATACCTCAGGGATCTGTCCTAGTTCCCTTTCCAGCTCTCCCTGGTGAAGGTGGGAATAAACAGCAGCTTGTTCCACCTTGTGCAGGTGGAGAGAGCCTCGTCCCCCCGTTGCTGCTGCTGCAGACCCTTTGTTCCACAGTGCCTTTAGGAAGTGGCTGTGCAAGGGAGAGCTCTGTGGTGCCTGCTTCAGAGTCACAACCCAGCTCCTGCTTGTCTTGCTGCAGTTCAAGGTTAAGCTGCAGCATCCACGACTGGGTTAAGCACCCAAAAAAAGGGGAGAAAACAGACTGAATGTTGCCAGCTTCAATTCTGTGCTCAGTTCTGTTCTGCCACATTCTCCTGGGGCTTGTCATTAGAACACAACATCTTCAGCTAACCAAGTTTCCTCCTCTCTTGTTGTCAGTCATAAAGCTTACAGCTCTTTTTTCCTAGGGTATTCTTCAGACAGAAAAGAGTGATGTTTGGGCACAAATTCAAAACGAGACAAAGCAACTTAAACAAAAGCTGCTTTGTGTTTTATTGCTCAGGAAATGAGAGGAAAATCTCTCTGCAGCATTTCATCTTGCCATTTCCCACCTGGGGAGCACTAATAACACTCAGCATCTCATTTCTTTCTTGGGGGGACTTGGTGGGTTAGAGGGGATAGCTGATGAGGTTCTTCCAGGTGACAAAGAAATGCTTTTGGACTTTCCCAGCTGGTGTTCCTGGAGACAACTTCCATCTGCAAATGTAGTTTGGCCACAAGGTCTAGCCAAGCAGAAGAGGGAGGTAACTACTTTCTCCATGCTGGAAACTTCCACTGCAGGACATATTCTAGGCAAGTTCATCTTCAGCAGTGGTGTGCAAGCTGAAGAGAAGTTGGTGCTCTCCAGGGCTGGTCCACATCAGTCCCAGTGGTCATCTGGGAGAAAGGGTTGCCTTCTTTGGAGAGCAGGGAATGAAGGCTGCAGCCAATTCCTCGTGTGGAACAATGAAAAGCTGCACAAGGAATTTGGTGTTTCCAAACCTGAGTCTCTGAGCTGGTGTTTAACATCATTCAGAGTGAATATGCTGCAGGAGGAAAGTCTTTTTTGCTGTGTTACCTCTTTTCACAAGGTCAGTCCTGATTTTCTTCCCTGTAATCCTTTGCTTCAGTTTTTAAAATGTTGGGTTTTTTTCTCTTTTTTTCATTAAGGTATTTAATTAAAATAGAAGTATGAGTTAGTACCATCTTTGGTATACAGGCCAGACCAGCATTTGAAATATTTATTGTTAATGCTGGCTATTCTTTCACCTGAGGTTGTTGTTTGAGTCCTAGCTCAAAGTATTTCATTAAGACTCTACTCATCATAAGGAAAATTTCTTTTTTACTCTCATTTTTGCTATAGTGTAGTAGCTGGGCATTTATTTAGGAAATTACAGAATCATGGAAAATTGGGCTGAGAGGGGCTCTGTGGTCTATTCCATTTGCCTGTGTCAAGACAGATCATAGATTCCTAAACTGTCATGAATTAAAGATTCCCCCAACTTAATTTTTAAATCCTCAAACTATAGAGATTCCACAATTACTTTAGGAAATATGTTTCAATGTTTTGCCACCCAGAGATCCATGCTTACCCTCAGCTGATATTTTTTTCAGTAGTTTTTTGTGCAGTAAAAGTTGAAAAGGAGATATAACAGAGGAAAGTAAACCACAGGAAGTAGAAAGGACTTCCAATATCATCAATGCCATTTCCTTACTGTTAGAAGCAAGGTAAAGCCTTCCTATGTACAGAACTCAGTATTTGAGCTGGTTGAACTTCTCCCCTAAATGTTCTAAACCAAATTCTGCTGAGATTCTCATCCTCCTGAAAGTTAAGAATCTCCTGCAAAGCAGAACTGCAAAATCAGAACATTATAAAGCCTGTGAGATGCACTTCTGGGTACATGGTGTGCAGATAAAACTTTTATGAAGCGACAGAAAATTTGCTTGCTAACAGACATGGTGAAGTCTCAGAAATGAAAAGTAGATCTCTCCTGAAAATGAAAATCCCTGCTGAAACAGATAATGATGCTTCTAAATTCCCCAAGATGCTATTTGAGATCTCATAAAACAACTCCAAAACCCAGTCCTCAGCAGGACTGCCAAGATGCTCCTAACTTCCAAGAGAACTACACCTGAGGTAGGATATTGGGCTTGGGTGAAAAGGAAAATTGTGACTATTACAAGAAGTCCTAGAAAGTAAACTTCTTGCTAAAAGGAAGAGAGAAGCTGGGTGGAAGTAAAGTCAACATGGAGTTGAAAAGAAAAAAAATAAGGGCAAATTCAGCAGAAATGGAGAGCAAAGTTTCTGAACTGAGGATGAGGAAGAGGTTGGATTACACCTGGGAGGAGCTAAATTCAGTGATCCCCTAACTTTAACAGGGAGGACAAGCATGACTGCCAGACATGAAAGTTCTCACTTTTACCAATGTCATAACTGATGCTTCAGAGAACATCTTGCCCATCTCCACAAAGTTTCAAAGCATCCTTCAAGACACAACCCCATGTGTCAAGGTACCACTGAAAGTATGAAAAGACATGAGGGAACTGTATTTAGGTATCTGGATTCAACTTTTTATGACACATCACTGAATTTAAACCCCACAGAAGAAAATCTTGGGTAATTCTGTGAGGTCAGGATCTTTGTCCTTGTCCTGCAGCTGCTATGAGAACTTAGCTAGAAGAGCTTGGAGGTTATAATCATACCCCACAGCAGCTATACTTGCATAATATCATGGCCCAGTGCACAGGGCAATACTTTCAGACAGGACCTGCTGAGGTGCTGAATATTATCAATGAAGTCTTAAATTCAAAACCAGAGCAATCCAAACCATCACTGAGTGTAGCCCTCCCAGAAGAAACATTTTTTTTTTTTTTCCCAAAGCTCATAACTCAAAATGAGTCATGCTTGATTAACTTCACTTGGGTCAGGAGACTAATCATGAGATGCTATTTTTAAATTATATAAGGAAAGTCAGAGAGAGAGAGAGCATCAGAATAACATTCAGAATGGAAGACATGTTATAGCCTTAGCAGAGTGTCACTGTGATAACTTAATGAAAACTAGGAACCATCTTAATGAAAACTAGGAACCATCTCTATTAGCAGGTGTTGCCTTTTTTTAACCTTTTTTTTAAATTTTTTTTTTTTTTTTGGAAGTGTGTCTACTCTCCAGCCAAAAAAAGTTATTAAAGGTAAGTGAGACTCCAATCCAGAGAGCAACTGCCCAGCTCAGTTCTTGGTGGGGTAACAGATCAGAAAGTTTCACCTCCTCCTTCTCCTCACAGCTGCCCCTCACACATGCACACACACACAGAGGCCAGGGAAATCTACTCCTAGAGCACCTACCTTGGGTTTGAAGGCGATTAATTTCAGGACCATCTCCACGGTGAAGAGGCCAGTGAAGAGCATGTTGAGGATATTCATGGCTTCCTTGAACATGCAGCTCTGACCATAGTGCTGAAAGACAGCGTCCCAGCAGGAGTGTGAGGACAGGACGTGCCAGCACTCAGGGGTACACAGGACCCCTCCCAGTCTCCCCTCATGCCAAGGTTTTCTAAGGAAGATCCCAGCGTGTTTCGTTTTTTCAATTGAGAATTCCCATTTCCCTTCACACATAAGCACTCTATCCATTTTTGCCACCTGGCTCTTGATCTCCTCCTCTTTCTGGAAGAATCTTTTTGAGGAGTGGCTACCAAGATCATACTTATCATTCCAATTCAGGGCTCATTATAAATTTGCACAATGTTACAATACAATCTCCAACTGTGTTTTTTTATCTCAACCTTCCCTAACGCTTGGGATACTTCTTTATTTCACTGTGACTGCACAGTGAGCAGGGGTTTCACTGAGCTGTCCATAATGATACCAAACCATTCCTCAAGTAATTACACTAAATTCAGGATTCTGCAAAGTACATGAGCAGCTCAAATCATGCCTTTCCAATATGCATTAACTTGCATTTGTCAACTCTGAATTAAGTTTGCAATCATGCTGCCCATTCACTTAACTTTATTAAGATCTTATGAAGTTACTCTCCATCTTCTATTGATTAATTCAAGCAGAGTCTTCTGCAAGTGTTGCCACCTCACTTTTCATATCCCTATTTCCAGATCATAATACTTGAACTGATTGCACTGCCTTGTTCTAAGGTCACCTTCCATTGTTACAAGATCCCATTTGTAGTTGCTTAACTTTAATAAACTTCAAACAGCAGGGATGGATTTTCATGTTCTGTGTTGGCACAGGGTAATTTTACTCAAAGCAGTTTCAGTTAAAACAATTCAGCTGCAGCTGAATGCAAGGCCAAGAAAAAATACAGTGTTGAGCCATTTTCAACATTTTTCTTGAGAGGTTCTAGTATTTGCAGGACTCTGCCTAGAAATGTGAAATTTGTTTGTTTTTAAATAGAAATTCAAATAAATAAATTAAAATAAATAAATTCAAAACAGAATTGTTGAAAGTGTCAGATATTAGCAAGAAGAGGATGAGAGCCAGATTTCTCATTTCAACTGCATGAACACAATGGTTTTCCTAACGTGCTTGTCCCTCTCCCTCAACACGTGGTGTGAAGGTGAAAGGAGGTCTCAACCTCAACCATTTTTGCATTTTCCCCAACAAACTCCTTCACCACCTGCAGGTTTTCTGCTTGCTTACTTACTTGCATGGCCAGGCAGATGGTGTTCAGCAGGATCAGAACGAACATCAGGTATTCAAAATAGGTGGAGTTGACCACGTACCAGACTTTGTACTGGTACTGGTTTTTAGGGATGTATCTCCGCAGGGGCCGGGCTTTCAGGGCATACTCTACACACTGGCGCTGTGGGAGAGGCAGGGTACATTTAAAACTCAAACCCAAAATATCAGGGTGGTCAGCTACCTTCATTTGTAATAAAAAAAAATACAGTATGTTTCAAGTTTTTTGTTGAAATGAACAAGCTTGGTAGAAGAATTTCTATTAGGTCTTAACAGAAATGTGAATGTGCACGTTCTACCTGTTAAAGAGTTCTGTGTTATAGATATATAGTTCTATATTATAGATATATATATAAATGGCCAATTACTTTGGCCATTTACTTTGGCCAGACTCTGCTCATCTAATCTCAGTGAAACAAATGGTACAGCAAACATTTTTAAGTAATTGTTGTCCCTTGAGTGAATCTTACAGCAAGATTTTTTTTCTGCCTGACTCCTAAAAGATGTCAGCAGAGCCAGCTTACAGTTTTATCTTGTTGGCAAGCTTAAGGTTTTCCTCTCTGTGTGCATTTATCTATTAAGAGCTTATTGTCAATGCATTTTTCTGCCTTTTTTGGCAGCAAGGTGTTGTAAATTACCTGGTTTTTGTCCAGCTCACAGTTCTTGTACTCTTGTTCTCCTTGTTCCTGAAATGTGACGATGACGAAACCAACGAAGATGTTCATCATGAAGAAAGCAATGATGATGATGTAGATAATAAAGAAGATGGAGATCTCAACCCTGTGATTATAGATGGGTCCCACATCCTCCATGTGGGAATCAATGGACCTATACAGCAACCTGAAAGCAAACAGGAGCCAAATGCAGAGAAAATCTGCGACTGCCTTGAGGCCTTATAGGTGATGCTAAAGTTTAACTTCGGAATTTTCTGCTACTTGTATCAAAATAAATTCACTCAGAGATGTGCAGACTTGAGCCAATCTGAGTGCAAATGCTTGTGAAAGAGAAGACCTGGCTCTTATTAGTTTTACACACTTGAACCCGTACAGGGGTGAAATGTCTCCATTTTTGAACAACATCATGCTCTTCAGTTAACAGAGGACAGTCCCAACAGAGCTGTTGGGGACTGAGTTTTGTGAGAAAAAGGGATGCCAAGAGTCAACAGTTATTAATGCTGCTGTTGGCATCAGCTGGTGCCACAGGTGAGGGTCCTGATACCCTGCATGTCCCCATCCCCCTGAGAGACCGTGGGAGTCCCCAGCTCCCATGGCACAGGCAGCAGGGCCTGGAAAGACACCCCATGTCTGCAAAACACCCCATGTCTGCAAAACACCCCATGTCTGCAAGGACACCCCATGTCTGCAAGAACACCCCATGTCTGCAATGACACCCCATGTCTGCAATGACACCCCATGTCTGCAAAACACCCCATGTCTGCAAGGACACCCCATGTCTGCAAGGACACCCCATGTCTGCAAGGACACCCCATGTCTGCAAGGACACCCCATGTCTGCACCCCACAGACACACTGCTGTGTTTCTTATTGCCCTGCTGGCTCCATGGGGACACCTGAAACCTGGCAATCCTGGAAAGGACCTGACGTGCATCTTACGTTCATTTATACACATAATCACTGTAACAAATACTGGTATCACTGCTACTAATGGAAATCATCTTTTAAGAACTGCTTTGCACTGTTTACAAGTACAGTAGCAGAAATTCCTGCGGGCCCTGAGGAATTTACAGAGTACGTAATACTACAGTGCTACTATTGCTATATTTAAAGCTCTAGACTTATTTAAACACTTAGAAAGGGGAAGGCTGTGCTCTGCCTTTGAATTTTCTCTTTTGGAATGAATGAGGACATTGCTAGTGAGGAGCACTCACTCTGGCCAGCCCTCGAAGGTGGAGACGGTGAAGAGGGCCATCATGGCAGTCAGGACGTTGTCGAAGTCGAACTTGCTGTTCTCCCAGCTGCGGGGCTGTATCATGGGCTGGCTGACCTCCCCATCCTTGTAGGTGATGTAGTACCCTCTGTGGGTGGAGAGTGGAGACAGAACGTGGCAGACCTGCACTGCCAGCGCCGGGCGCTGCGGGTGGGCGGCCAGCGAAGGGGAGGGATTGGAAAAGCTCAGACCCACCTGCACTCTGCTTCTGTCTGCTTGGAGCTGTCAGTGCAGCTGTACAGCTTGCCCTTGGGAAGGAAAAAGAGGAATGAAGCTTCTGCCTGTGGGGTAGTTTTGTATGTCCTGAAAGCTTGCTGTCAGGAGGGTGGTGAAAGGCAAGGAGCTCAAAGCGGACATAAAGAGGGGAATGGATATCTGGTGTGTCCCTTCCTCTGCAAAATGGGAGGTAGAGAACCTGCAAGGACCAATCCTTTGGAACAGCCCCCTTCACCTTCCTGGGATCATGCCATGCCAGTGTAAAGCTGTTCAGGGAGGAACAGCATTACTGATCATTTCTTCTGATCACAGATGACGGGCAAGAGTTCTGCATATGCCTGGCTCGGTTTTGGAGAAGTGCTGGTAGCAGAAGCTCAGGTAACACTGACAGTGCCCCAAATGCCTGTTACACACAGAAGACTCCATTTTCCCTTCCCCAGGCTTTTCATGCTATTTTTCTTCCCATCCCTTAAAGTACTGGATGAATGGATGGGTCCAATGGTTTTACCTTGAACAGCTGAACTCCAATGCAGGCAAACATGAACTGCAGCAAAGTGGTGACAATCACAATGTTCCCGATGGTTCTGATGGCGACAAACACACACTGGACCACGTGCTGCAAATGAAAGAGAGGAACAAAAGCCACTTTTTGGATTGTTCTCAACTGTTCTGGTTAAGGAAGAAGCCCAGGTATAAAAATACATATGATAAGGAACAATTATTTAACCAATGCTCATTACCCAAGTAATGTTTTGGGAAAGAGGACCAACTTGTTGCATTTCTTGTTGTACTTTTAAAAGCAGGCAGAAAGGACTAGGAAAATACTAGAACCCAGCTCTCTGAAACTTCCCTCATAGTTAGGGTAGCAGCTCCAGCACCAGCATGTAGGAAAGAGTTCATCTAATACAGAAAAGTTATATTTAGGGTTGGTTATATTGTGGGCCCATCTGTAACCCTAGAAAACCCCATCATTTCACCTCTGTGTTGATGGGGCCATTCAGCTGAAAAGCAGCTTGTCAGAAAAGGACCTGGCCATCCTGGTGGACACAAAGCTGAATATGAGCCTTCACCACAAAGATGGCAAATGCTGGCCTGGGCTGCAGTAGGCAAAGATTTTAACAAGTTGAAGGAGGTGATTTGTCCTGTTTACTCAGCACTGGTGAGACTCTGCCTGTTGTACTGGGTCCAGTTCTGGCTCCTCAGTAGATGAGAACTGTGGAGATACTGGAGGAAATGTAGCCAAGAGCCACAAAGATGATTTAAGGGGTTGGAGCATCTCTCCTGTGAGGAAAGGCTGAGAGAGCTGGGTCTGCTCCTCTGGGAGGAGGCTCAGGGGAATGCAGTCAATGTCTATTAAAGGCTGAAGGGAGGATGCAGAGGAGGAAGAGCCAGGCTCTTTCCAGTGGTTCCCACTGACAGGACAACGAGCACAAATTGAAACAGGATGGGTTTATCTGAACATTCAGAAACACTTCTACTGCCAGGGTGACTGAGCATTGGAACAGGTCATCCAGATTGGTTGTGGAGCTTCTCTCCTTGGATGTACTCTAAAGCAAGCTGCTCTCAGGGGCCCTGCTTGAGAGGGTCCCTTCCAACCTCAACCATACTGTGATTCCACTGAAACATTACTTGAACCACTGCAAAAGCCCTTGTAGCCTGGAATAAAATGAATTCACAGTTTATAGAGTGCACTGGGACTTTTCTAACCTTCAGTCCTTTGGCTCTGTTGATGGCCCTCAGTGGTCTAAGGACCCTCAGAACACGCAGGATCTTCACCACATTAATGGCACTGGACCTGGAAGAAAGTATTGGAGGGTTTGAGAGATACAGAAATGTGGGGAGTGTGCAGCAAGGACAGAACTTTGAAACTCTGCATGGTCTGAGACTGCATAAGGTGTTTAGTCAACTCTTTGCCATGGCACTTCAGGGGTAAGGAAACCAATCTCTGGTGTTTTCTTCAGAGGTCTAGCTTCTTGTTCTGGCTTTCATCATCTCTGCTGTACTGATGCAGGGGGGATGGAACATGGGCAAGGGGTATTTTTAGAGCAGGGCAAACAGATCCTGTAGATATCTATGATATAGAAATCATGCCAAGATGTAGTCATTACCAAGGCATTTTCAGAAAAGGCTCAAAGAAGCGCTCCATTGGAATATTCATGGAGCAGTGAAAAGTCCAGGAGACTCCAGCATTAAAGCTAGACCATCCATCTGGACTTTGATCCTACAGTGTGTTTGGCCCCTGAACCCACAAACCATTTAAGTGTGTACATAAATTCAAGGATGTGAAAATAAATAACTGAATTGATCAGGATGATTTATGTGCACACTTTTAAGTACTGAACACAACTACCTTCTGCAGCAGAGCTCTCTGTGCCTTCCAGGACTAAAACCCTGACTGAGAATCTCCCTCGTGCTCAATGACATCATGTTTTCCTACTGATTTTGGGAACAGTTTTAATGTTAACTCACTAAAAGTCAGACTTAGGTCTGTAAGAAAGAAACTGCAGGTCAAAACAAGCACTGTGCCATTCTTAAGGACCTTGACTGAAAGCACAGTGGACCTCACAAATTGTCCTGCTTGACTTAGGGTTTGACATATGTGAGCTGCTAACCTGTAGTGGTAACTACTGGGAGCTTGCTTCTTATCAGATGTGAAACTAATTAGGGAACTTCCTACCTGACACACAGCCAAGTAAATCTATAAATGATTAAGCAAATTAGCAGATGAACCAAAGGCAAACAGCATGACAGAACAGCCACTACCACTCTGAAGATTCTCATCAAGTGCTTGATGGCCTTCCATTGACCAAGGCTCACAGCATCTCAGGAAGTAGGAAAGCATTATCAACCTCACTTTCCAAACTGGTGATGAGAGGTCTAGGAGGGAACCATAAATCACTGAACTGGCCTGATCTGACACAGTGAAGCAAAGGAAGCCTTGAAACAAAGCTAAGTGTCGTGGTTCCCAATACACCCTTTTTTTTTTGTGTGTTCTCATTTTCTCCTCCTGAAAGATTCCCCCCTCCAGGTCGCCAGTGTAGCATTTCCCAGTCACTACCTCCTCTCTTGAGGACGAATTTTAATGGCCTTGAATCATCTGAGAAAAACACCTCATGAATACCCCAACAGGCTCACAGAAAAACCTTACCCAGAGGAGACAAGGAGCCTGAGCCATCCCTCCCAGCCCAGCCCCAGCAAAACCAGCCAGCTGGAAACAGCTCACTCACTGGATCCCAAAGGAGATGAGAGAAACGCTGACCACCAGCAGGTCTAAGATGTTGAAATAGTTCCTGCAGAAGGAGCCCTTGTGGAGGAAAGCCCCGTAGGCCGTCATCTGCAGGGAGGCACACGGAGACACAAACACACTTTGCCATCAGCAGCTGCTCAGGAGCCAAACCCACCTGGCTGTGCTCAGAGGGGAGAGCTGGGGAGGGGGCAGGATTTCTGTTGCTGGCAGACAATTTACCCCCAGACCCCCAAGGAGAAGTTGAGCCCCCCATGGAAAGAAAAGAGAGTGAGAAGGACAGCAAGATAACTGTGAAAGGCCTAACTAAAGAAAGTGAGGAAAATATGCACTTCAAGTGCACTGAGCACATAACATTTAGGATTAGCAAAGCAGCAGAATGACTGCCTGCAAAAACTACTCTCTGCAATCATATGCTTTTCCCTTTTTCTTCAATGACAGAGGACATTTGTACTATATAAAGGCCTCTAACAATATTGAATAAAAAATATAAAATAAAATGGGCTCTTCTGTAATGCTTCTCAGTACTTAGACCAGCTGCAGTGGACAGTTGATGACTCTTCCCTTTCATGAAGGAAAAACAGAATCCCCCAGGGATATGATGCTTTAGAGCTGAACTGAAACAACAGGAGGAATTACTGCTCTCTTCAGCTCGCTCCTTCTGTTCAGCTCAGTCCCACCACTTTTACTCTAGGTGCAGTTGCATTTTCCCCCATAGTTTTTCTTACAAATCCCAGGCTGTATTCCTTGAAACAGGGCAATTTCTTCATGGAGGTAATAATTTTGAGCATCACCAGGCAGAGGGAGGGAAGATAGTTACGTATTTTGCAAGGGAGCCTCTGCCTACCTGGGTATGAAGGGGTATTGAAAACCTGCTTGTTTTGAGGAGGATGTCACAGCTCCAGAACTGGACTGAGTGACAATGTAAACAGGAAAAGTTTAGGCTGAGCTCTGTTACAGAGCACAATGGGCCTGGCACAGTTAAAGAGGGTGAGCTGCTGGGGTATTTGTACCACCTACCTCAGGCTCTGATGTGGCTGCCTTGAAGAAACCCCATCCCCACAACTGCTAATGCTCCTCCATTAGGAATTCTCATCCCCATCCAGGAATACAGGCTTCTAAGTTTGGTCCTCTGAATCTCATCTAAGTTAGGTGTCTAAAGTAACCTGAGGCAGACACCATGAGACTGAGCTGTAGCCAGACTTCCAGCTGAGGAGTGTGAACTGGAAAATCAAACTGGAGTTTTCTGGGTCCCACCAGTAGCTCGGGATGGTGTATTGGCTGGTGGTTTCCAGCCTGTGACAGCTTTACTCAGAGCAGGGTGGAAGGGCACATGGTAAATCAGATTATTTTCTTCACCAAACATCCATGACATCGGGGAACTGACTATCAATCAGACAGAAATTAGAGGGGGAGGAAGTATAAACTCTGGTCTTGGCTTAGAATTTATACTTGTAGACACATTCAGTTGGGGAAGGGAGGAGGGGTTCTTGCCATAACAAAGATGCCCTTTACTGGTTGGATTTTGTATGGCAATCTTGAAAGAAAGACACCATTGAAATCAGGAGGGGAAGCTCTGCTGAGTTTAAGTTTGGTACCAACTGTGGTCTTCTCAAGCCTGTTGAGAGGTTTTGTCATCTCAGAAGAGACTCTCAAAGAGTGTATCATCTATATCTGCCTCCCATCTGGGGCATTAAACAACTTACAGCCTTTTAGGATGCCAGGTAAACATCCTTGGCAGTCACCTTGCCAGCATTCACCAGAATTGCAGGTGTCCTCATCAGCAACACGAGGGCAGATGAAGCTTCTTTCTCTACAGCCTTGAGCACCCCATGACCACTCATTCTTTTGTTTTTACCACTCTTATCAACTCTGCTGTTTTGCAAAACGTTGTGCTCAGTGCCAGGCAGCAGAGAAATGTGCACTGAGAAACCAAGCTATTCATGGCTTAAATTTATGGTCCTTGCACTATTCTCCCACTTGAACTGAGGGAATATCCAGGGATGTTGTCATAAATCACTGAAGTTAACAGGAGGACTTTGGGATGGCCCAGGCCAATGGGCTGGGTAAAGTTTTGCTTCCATTGATGTCATTAGGAGTGCTACCACTTCCTTCAGAGCAAGGAGAATTAATAATTGTGAGTCCAAACAGGTGCTGTTGGGATATTTTCCTTTTCTTGACAGGCTTTTTTGGATCTGCCATGTGATCTGTGCACATTCAGATTTATTGTGTAAACACAGATGCAAACTGCACACAGGCATAATGTGTACATGTCCCTGGAGAACATTACGGCTTTGGTAATTTCAAGTCAAATAAAAAAAAAAGAAAAAAAGCACATTTCACTATAAAAATGTGCAAGGGCCACCCTGCTTGCCAGCCCTCTGTATAGATACTGTTATTAGGGTCTTGAGCTGCAAAATTTGAGCAACTCTAAGGCACTGCCTGCCAGCACTTAGAACTAGCTTGCTGAGAAAAGAAACAAAAACAGCTGCCAAGTGAACCTAGCATTTAGAAAGCCAGAACTTTGCTCAATTACTGTTATTTAAATTATTAGCCTACCAATTTGGGAAAATTAGAGTTAAGAACAAGGCAGCCTATTTTTATTTTCTTCCATTCTCCTGCACATTCCCCTTGGTATAGAGCACGCTCCTGGGAAACGGAGAGTGGGGTTTTTGATGCAGCAGTTTTCACTGGCAGCTACTGTCCTTGTGTCTCAGTGATTTGTACTCTTGGTTGTCTCTCTCTGCCCCTAAAAAGTGAGGTTTTGCATTGTGCTCCCTGCCTCCTGCTTGGCTGGAGCTCACAGAAGTCTTCAGCCACCCTCTGGGCTGGTTTCTGCAGAGCAGAGAGCTTCTCTTTGGGTGCAGCATGTGTAAGAGGTGTGTGTATTCAGAGTTTCTTGCAGAGCAGAAAAATCCTGTTTTGGAAAGACCAGCCAGGGTAGAGGGAGAAATTTATCAGGGGATGGCCTTTTTCTTGGTCCTCTCTTACATTTCCCAGCATTGCATCCTGTCATTGGAATTCCCCTACAAAGCATTGTTTTGCTATAGGCCCTCAATTACAAGTTTGAATATCAAAATTTCCCAGGAGACTTTTTAAGCAACTACCAAAACATCCAATGAAAAGAAAAACAACCCTTTGTGTAGAGATAATAATGGGGTTAAAAAAAAAAATAAAGGAGAGAGAGAGAAAGAGCAAAAGAGAGAAAGAAAGAAAGAAAGAAAGAAAGAAAGAAAGAAAGAAAGAAAGAGAAAGAAAAGTGTATTTCTCAGATTGGTTACCTTAAGAATAATTTCTAATGTAAAGATACTAGTGAAGACATAGTCTGCATTGCCTAGGATCTGAAAAATAAGCACAATTGGGTTAGTGGTACTGAGCGTGACCCAGGAGCAAACAGGAGTGTGTGTTAGCAACAGAGAGTGGCAGAGAACTAGAAAGCTTGTGAGCAAGAAATGGTAGAGAAGATGGGCACTTTACCTTCAGAGCAATTTCAATGGTGAAAATGACAGTAAAAACTATATCAAAATAAAAGAGAATCTGTAAAAACAAAAGGGGATAGGAGCGGGGAGGGTAGGTCAGTGGCTGATCACTTGAGTGGGAAATCACAGTTAAAATCAAATACATGAGTTCTTTTCACGAGGGGATGAGGAGGACTCTATAGGGAATGGTTTTGGAACAATGTCCTGTTGAATGCAGTGAAGGTCCTGGCACAGAGGACAAGAAGCACATTACATGAAATCTTTCCTGAGTTACAATCCCTTGAGCACTATAGATTTTTGGTTGCTGTAGGATTTATTTTTTATTTTTTTTTCTTAAATCTCATAAAGAACATTCAAGGGTTTTCCCAAATAGGATTCCAAACTGAGAATACAAAGAATGCCTGGTCTCTCAGTGGAAAACATGAGATTCCTTCCTATTAACTTCCATTCAGTCTTGTCCTGTGCCTCTCTCAAAGGAAGAAAAGCAAACTGCAAAATCATACTCTAGCTATTTCTTTTCTCTGTCCTGAATTGCTGTGGATTAGGATGAATAACAAAGACTCTGCCAATTGAACAGAATCCCAGCCCTTGTATTGCAGCCATAATTTGGTCATTCACTAAAGGTGCCTAACTTAGATCCTGCATCTTTCTATTTGTATCCTGAATATTCAGCCAGCTGAAACACTCCTCGTTCCCAGGAGCCTTGGCCTGGGGGTGGAGGTACCTGTGGCATGCCCAAAAAGTGGTGTCACAGGAGGCAATGAGAAGCCAAGAATCTAAAGGGGCTTTCAAAGTAGCAGCATCAAGGAGAGGAATGTCCCCCACTGCCAAAATGTTGGCATCTCACAGTAAATGGGAACTTTCTCACTGATTCATGGATTGAACCCTCTTTGTTTCCAATATATTTCAACATTCCAAGACACTTTAGTGCTATCTACACTACAAATGTTGAATATCAAAAGTATCATGCCCAAGGTTTAGTGTTGTTTTACCATAACCATGTTTAGAACCAGAAGGCTGATATATGGAAGTTGTAGAAAATGGATAATTTGTGAAATTTTAGACCTTTGCTGCTAAAACACTAATAAACATAAACTAGGAAACTTCCCTCTCCCATCCCACAGGTGTTTATTGTATCTTAATCCTCACTCAGATTTAAAGGTGGCTAAATTCTTACAGCCTGGTATGCAGAGGGGCAGATACTGCAAATTCCAGGGTCATTTCCCATTGCACTATTTGAGCACAATCCAAATCTCCATTGATTTTCAGACACTGCAAGTCAAATAAGAGGGGATGTATCACTTACTGCCACCATGTAACTCAAAATTCTTCAGGTCACTGCTCAGTTTTTAATCCCAAATTCTTCTCAAGGCTGTCTTGGGCTCCATCAATTTTTTCAGTTTAGAGAATTAAGAAAGGGCCACTTCAAGGGGACAAATCTCGATTTCAACCTGTATTAATTTACACACATTGCAAGTGGAAATATCCTTCTGCCTTGCTGATTTGTAAGTCCTGACATTTGATTATTTTATCATTTTATAATTTTATCAATTTTATAATCAATGAGCCGGATTTGTGGGTACTCTCTAACTGCTTTACATGACTCCACCAACATAAAGAAGCTGCAAACTTGGTTAAAGTGAATAATTAAGCTGTACCTACTGCTGCTTTACCTCACCAGGGGGCTGCAAAAGAGATAGAACACGCTGGTGAACGTGGCCTCAAAGTACAGCTAGCAAAAAAAAAATCATGCCTAATGAAAATGGTCACTGCCCCACCTGTGCAGGCAGTTCCATTTATCAGCTGGCATATTTATTATTATCTAAATAGGAGCTTGCTCTAGAATATATTAAAATGAATGAGCACCTTGCCAAGGTGCAAACAGGGGAATATTGTGAGCACAGTCTTAGGACTTGCTTGGACTTCAAAGGCTGCTTGGTCAGACTGGGCTGGCACTCTGTGCCTGAGCCCTGTGTGACACGAGAGGGACACAGCCCTGTGTGACACAAGAGAGACACAGCCTGTCCCAGGAAAGCAGCAGAGTCTCCAAACCTCTCCACCAGCCCTTGCTGGGCTCTCTGTTCCTGGATTTCTGCTCTGGGACAGTCTGTGCCAGCAGCATCCTCACTCTGCACACGATTTCACAGCTCTACAGTGCAAAGGCAGGCCACATTTGCAGCCCAAACATCTTGTCAGTGTCCCCTTGTACGACACATTCTAAACATCTGTACCTGCAAAAATTAAAGACAGGTTTTCACGCAGCACTGGTGGCTTCACAGACACCAAACAAGGCTTTGCCTCAAACCTTCGGCTCTTTAATCCAGGACAACCAGCTCTGACTCTTCTTTTTTTTCCCCCCCCCTCTCATTTAAATCTCTCTGTGACAGTTTCTGTGGCATGTCAGGAGCCCATCTGCCAGCTGACATGCTGCAGCACTAATACATATTGGCATTTAGTTATCCCTACGTGGTGTGCAGCCTCATTTGTGCACAAGTGGGTTACTGGTGGCACAGGTTTGACTGGATTATTTAGCATCCTCCTTCAGGACAAAATGCAAAGCCACTCTGAGATATGCTCAGGAATAGACTTCCATTAACACCTTCTCTGCATGCACATATGTGTTCAAATGCATGCTCAGGCCAGGATATTTCAGGGAGCATTAAATGAAGGTTTTATTATTAAACAAGGAGAAACCATCCCACTCTTCAATCCTAGAAAACTCTTCAGGCATTGAGGCACCAAAATGCCACTGCAGACACAGAAATCAGAGTTCTTGCATATGTCTGCTGACTCCTTATTTTTCTGCAATGGCCCCTGACTAATGGAAACAACCACTGGCAAAGTTAAGGGAGCACTGAACATTTCAAAAGGCAAATAAGAGTGATCAGGAGAGAGGGTGAGAATGTATCTCTGTGCTGAATGCTTTCCTCTTCTCTCCCCAGGCAGGTAAGGAGAGGAGCACAGCATATTTTTTGAGGGTTATCTCAAATTTAATGGTAGCTTTGTAGCTTGTGTTCAAAAAGCCTGATTCTAACCTTGATGACATCAATTTTCCCCAGAGTGATAGCATCAAACTCAAGAATGTTACTCCTGATTTACACCAGAGTGAATAAAATGAAAACCAGGCCCCGGGCTTTTTAGTTTAAAAGACAGCATGTGGCAGCAGAATGTTCCAAAGGAAATCTGAAAATCCCTCAAAATTGAATTATCTGTATCCCCAATCAATGTTTTTACAGCTCATTTCTAATGCTTTAATCCCAGGGAACAATAATTTTGCTTCAGCCTCCTGTTCTTCCTTTGCCTACACACACTTCTGAAGTGAACTAGAGGCCAAATTCTGCACTGACTCATGTTTCCTGCAAAACCTAATGATTTCACACACAGCCTACAAAAGGCAGAAATCATGGAAGACAGGCACTCTGATGCAGCCTTTTCTGCCTTTCCTGGCTTCAAGTCATGATCTGCTTGTAGCACACTTGCAATAGCCAGCGAGGGAAGGAGGATGTGAAGCATACTTGGTTCCTAAAGGAGAGGTGTCTCACGGGGTCCTCAGCTGCCAGGGAGATGCTGCTGAGCAGGATGAAAAATAGGATCAGGTTGGTGAAAATGTTATCGTTAACGATTCGATGGCAGTGGACACGGAACCTGCAAGAGAGAGGAGAGGCACGACTTTATCTCTCAAAGGACAGCATGGGAAACGTTTCCCCCCTCCTCTTCTGCCAGCAGGACCAGAGGGTTGCCCTGCAGAGCATCTTCCCTCTGCCCCAGCACAGGAGAACCTGTGCAGGGCAATGCTGGCTCTCCACACAGGACTCACACTCAATGTGTTTGGGGAACAGCCACTCCCTCCTGCCAGGGCTTTTTGTGATTTCCATGGGGTCTGAAACCTGCCAGCCCAGGATTATACCCCTTGCTTTCATTTATGGGCCCATTCCTGATTCATTTAGGGGGAGAGCAGCAGAAACAGGCTTTAGGGTGCCAGTGTCCTTCTGAGCTGGGACTGGAGTGTCACTTAACAGGAGCTGTGGGGGATCCACCTTTCTAATGGGGTGCAGGCCTGGACAAATGGATATGGGGCAGGCTGGCATCAGCAAATGACTTCTGAGAGACATCATGCCATGCAGGATGTATGCTAAGCATAGACCCACTTGGTGCTCTTAGTGGGAACCTAAAAGGGAGAGAAGGAGCAGTCTCCTGTCAGACTTTGTTTCTGGAGACCATCACAGCACTTCCCATGTGTTGGTAGCAGGATGGGAGGAGTTAAACCCCATCATATCTCTGTGCATAATTCTACAGGCACTTCATTAATCTATTTAGCTCTAGTCCTGGATGTTAGGGCTCCAGGTCTCTATTACAGCAATTTTACAGATGACTGCAGAGGTTAATTCAGTTCTACAAATGACGGGGGGTGGGTGGCAAAGCTATCATTACAGTCCACGAGCCCCAGGCACCCTCAGCCCCTCCCTGTCACATAAACCCAAGCAGGAGGGGCAAAAGCTCTGCTGGGGGTTAAAAACCAGCTCTGAATTGAGCGGTGCAGGTGCAGCCCTGCCTTCCTCTGGGGCTGTGTTTGAGGCCTTAGGAGAGACACTGGAAATAGCTGGTGCTGCACTGGGCAGGGGGCTCACTGCTGTGTCCTTGCAAAGACAAACTCACCTGTCTCCTGACAGCCCTCCAGCCACATCCTGCACACCTGGGTTGGGAAGGCAGGTGTGACAACACGAGCCTGCACTGCAGGAGCCCGTGGGAAAAGGGTGAGGGAAGAATTGTGCTCCCTAAACCCCTCTCAGAGCAATGGGCTCTCCTCCCCCTCTCATTTCTTCTTTTCTGCTCATTTTTGATATGCAGCAATGAGCATTTTGGGATTTTGGGCAGCCCTTAGGACAGGAAGCTGCTGCCTCCCACTTGATTGATTGCATGATGGCTCTCCCGCAGTTTGGAGCGGGATGTGTCAGGAAATTCCAATTACTGACTCGCCTCTGTTGTCCCTTATTTCTGCAGCTTCCATCATTTGTGTCTTCAATCAGCCTTGCACGTGCCATGAGCTCCCATTGAATATTTTCACTGTGCTCCCTGCAGTTTCATAGGATTTCCTGCCTTTTAAAGGAGAGGTGGGTGAAAGGAGGCCTCTGGTATCAGCTGCTGAAGGGGAGCTCTGCACCTCACAACTTTTGGGGCCCAATGTGGAAGGGGTGCCAGCTCTTCACCTCCTTCTTCTGGCTAACCAACCCCTTAAATACCTGTTGTTAGGACTGAAGATGAAGAAAGCACTGGCATCAGGCATGGGCACAGCCTTTTCCTTGAGGTGCAGCTCAGACATCGGGCGAGGTCGAGGGCCGACAGGCATCTCAGGCTCTTCCTCATCTTCCTCTGCTGCAAGAAGCATTTTTGTCTTTTAATACAAAACACAACCCATTCCAAAGTGCAGGGGCATTTGTCTCTGTCATACCTACAGCTAAAAGCTAAGAACCATTAAAACAGGATGCTGAGGCCCTGAGCTTCCTTGCCCTTCCCTCCTCTGAGGCAGTGCCCTTAACCTCACCCTGGCAGACACTGCTCTCTGTAAAACCATTAGTGCTAGTAAACCTAAAACCTGCTCACAACACTCTCCTCAGATGCTTCACAGCTCCTTCTGCAGAAAACAGACCTTTCTAGGCTACTTCTAATGGCTTTTCTAATGGTTTTATTATTTTTAAAGATTTGAATCTTTCTTGCTGTTGTCTCCAGCCATTATCTGTTTTCTTATTTTCCATGGACACAGAAAATTAAAGATTGCCTTCCTCTTGCAGAAAGATTTTGCATGCTTGAGGATCACTATTATGCCTCTGGGAGAATATCTGGTTCCTAGAGCAAAACAGCAGCAGCCTTTCCTGAGGTGCTGTGTTCCCCAGGTCTCTGATCACTCCTGCTTCCAGATTACCTGCAGGATTAACCTGCAGTGGGGGTTTTACTGCTCCAGGGGAAAGCTAGATTACTTCTTATATCTTGTAATGCTGTCTTCCTGTTAAATGCCCTTCATGGAGACTTTTCATCATCCTTTTGGCATTAATTTGCCATCAGTGTCTGGTATGCACAAAGCAGAGATTATTTACCATGGAGCAACAGTCTGGCCTGTCACTCCTCCCTCTGCACTTCTGCTGCTGACTATTCCCAAAACTGGCACTCAGACCTCATCTTTACTGAAGGGCATATTTTTTTTTTTCCCTTTTTACCATTCCTCCAGCTTATCAAGACTGTTTTTCTTCTATTTGTGAGCATCTCCATGGAGCTGCTGCTGCGTCTGGAGCCGTGTCTGGATGAGCACATGTGTGCCCCAGAACAAACACTGAGCACATGCACATTGACTTGGACTGATCAGGAAGTCTTAAAATTGTCCCCTTTTAGAATTTAGTGGGGGGAAGGTCAGAAAGATGGGAATGAAACTCTTGAACCTGTGTCATCTCCAGGCAGCTCAGTGAGCAACCTCAAGAGAGAAAATGCAGAGATGAAGGCTAAGTGGTGCATGAGAGAGAAGCTTCTGCCTTTGAGGATTTCTTCTACCTGCTGAAATCAGACATTGTTTTGTAAATGACATGATAGGATTTTGCTGTTTTAAAGATCCCAATCCTCACTTAATCAGCAAGACAGAAAAAAAAAAAAAGAAAAACTGTAAGAAGGGAGCCTGACATGTTAGCTACAACTGATTCATCTTCCAGGCACAGCAAAGGAGGAAACTCCAATTAAAAGGTTCATCTTGAGTCCATAAAGAGAGATAAATTCCAGGAATGCTGATCCTTTAGGATGAGATACTGTACTTGATCTGGTTACAGGACACATCAGAAAGAACAGATGAATCAGCACAGATCCTGATCTAGATATCAGAGAGAGGAGAAAAGTGCCCTTTTTGAATGCATGCCATTATTACATGCAAATAGGATTCTTTCTTTACACTTCCAGTACCAAGAGTTCAGCTCAGATTTGCTTGATAGATCTTTGCATAAATGTTTGAGCTGGTACATAGAGTTTGTACCTTTTAAGTCAGTCTATTTTTTAACAGCTCAATTTTATGTGCAATATACTTCATAATACCCTTTCCACAGGCTTTATTAGTTAAAGAAACATCTTTCAGAAGTACATTCTTACATAGGACTTATAAAAAAATAGGTGTTAAGGTTAATGTGCATGTTTATGTAATATAACCATACTTTGCACTTGCACCTTTTATCTACTGGTTTCAGAGGAGGCTGACAAAGAGTGAGGTAAGAAAATCCTTTTTCTTCTTTAACAGGCCAGAAAACCAATGCCTGGGATCATGTGGGATATTTGAAACTCTTAAGAAGAATATTCTGGGTCCCTGCTCTGCACCTTCAATGGGAGATCATTCTTTTATTACTCAGAGGAATGCTTAAAACACACTTTTAAATGGGCATGGAACAATGCCTCTGGGAAATAGAGCCTTGGCAGAAGGATCAGCCCCATGAAGACCATAAAGAACATTGTTCCTCTCCTCTTTTTCTCGTGTCTGCCATACAGCAAGAAATATATATCAATGACTCTGGGAAGCAAATACTTTCAGACTGAAAAACACATTCAGTTCCTCAGCCACAGGTAAAGAACAATGTTCTACTTTTCACTTGGAGTCTAGAGTGCAGGAGAAAGGGAACATTGAGGGCCAAATTCACAAAGGAAAACGTGATTACAGCCTTGTCCCAGGTCACTGCCCATGCTGTCTACCTCCATATAGATGCAGCACAGCTGCTCACATTTGTAGAAGTGAATGTTCTTTGGCTGTGGAGATGAGCACAAACAGCATCAGTGAGAAATTCGATGATGGGGAGGTTTTTATTCCTGTACAAAGACCAGAACTCTCGTATAAGGACATTATTTTGCTTCAAGCTCCCATGAATCATCCCAAGCTTTTACCTTCATCTGGCATTCCGAATTCTTTCTCTATTTCTGTACTAGACTACAAGACTAGCTCCCTGTCTTCCTGCAATAAACATATCATCATAATAATCCTTCTAATGTACACAAATCTCTGGGAGAACCAGTCTGTCCTTCTGAAAAGGAGGCCAGGTGATCTGAGGAGCTGCAGCTATTCTGGGCCCGAGGAGCAGCAGGAGAGGTTACTGAGAAAACTGGTTTAAGGAGCAGAAACAAGTCAGGGAATGAGCAAGGGAGGTTAGGAAAGACCCTGCCTTGTTAGATGGTGTCCCTTTGCATTTCTGATAAGAGACAGGAAAAAAACTGATAATCCATTCAGATTTTAGGTTGTGTTCAAGAGTGTGTTAAGACAGGTGTTGGCACCCCTGGGCAGGCATTGAAAGTGTTTTCACTTGGTTTTCTGCACTCTAATTCTATATAAATAAAAGGGTAGAAGTAGCGTTTTGTTATATTTTTCATTTATAAGCTACTCTTTGTAAGCTATCTATAGAAAGTAAATAAACCCCAATTCTATTAGCAGTAGACTTAAAACTGACATTCAGGTGACTGTTATTTCACTTGAAAAAAACATAATTGTCTGCAAATCCAAGCCAGCTGAGAAACAGAAACAAAAGTGTATCAAGCTGTCTTAATTTGTGCTTCTCACTAAAGACTCCCACAAATCCCTTAGCAAATGGGCATGTGTGTCCAGCAAGTGCCTGTGCCTACAGAGGTGATGGGAAGATTAAATCCAGAGTGACATGCCCCAGATAGTGTTAAAATAGTATTGCACAGAGTTAGAACCACACTCTGCTCCTGATAAATTCACTATAAATATGGAAAAATATATGTATAGTATATGTGAGGACTTCTCATACAGAAAATCAAATGCAATGAATAGTTTTCCATTTTGCTTGTCTGAAACTCTTGTCCATCTACTCAAAATGAACTCTTGTGGTTTTTTTTTACCCTACCAAATCAACCTATTATCAGACATTTATTTATTAGGAATCATGGAATAGAAGAGAAAGTGTTTTATAGCCTATTATATCCTGTTACATAATCACAGAAACACAGAAGAGCAGAGCAGGGAAGGACCACAAAAGTCCCTCTGCTTCATGCCTCTGCCAAGCCAGGTTCAACTAATTATTATATCCAAGTCTTTTCTGGGAGACATTTTTCTGACCTGCCCTTAACAACATTCAGTGATGCTGGGCTTCCACAACCATCTCTGAATTTTTACAGCCTCACCATTAGAAAATTCTCTCTGCTGCGAATCTTAAATCTGTTACTTTATAATGGAGATAATTCTCCTCCTATCTGAAGTTTTTATGCATTTGAAGATGTTTCTCTTGCCTTTTCTAAGCCAAATAAGGTTCATTCAACCTTAGTTCTTGCTAGCTACTAGCATTGTTTTCACCATTCTCTTCTATACTCCTTCTAATTCAGCCCTGCTTCTCTTACCCAGAGCACACAAAAAGAGCCATGATATTCCATATTCCAGAGATCTTATCAATTATCTCTTGATAAGAGATCTTATCAAGCAATAAAACAATTGCTTTGCCCTGATTAGCTTTCATTGACCAGATAAAACAAACCCATAACTGGACAAAAGGGTCATTCTTTCTCTGTGTTATAAATCTCACTACTGGCTTGCCTTTTCAAAGGCAGCAAACTGTTGCTGACATCTGTTGAGCTTGTGGTCATAAGATTCAAATCCTTTTCTCAAGGACTGTTACCTAACTAGCTGTCACCTAAGATCCTTTATTTGTGAATTGTTTATTCCTGTCTATGCTTAGAGCCTGGCACTTTCAATTTTATTTAGACCATTTATCCAGGACCTCAGGAGCTCTTTGAATTCTAATGCTGCCCTCCAGCACGCTTCCTGTCCTTCCTAGCTTCATGTCATCTACAAATGTAATAAGCATATTGCCTCTTCCATCATTCAGGTCATTAGCAATGGACTGAGCTGAACTCTAGACAGGCTTTTGGGTTGTACAAACTCACTTGGGTTATCACTGCTCTCCCCATGAAGGGCCTGAGCATTTCTCTCACCATCATCTAGACCATATTTTTCTAGTCAGCTTATGAGAGCGCTGTAAGAGACGGCCAGAAGCCTCAGCAAAATTAAAGAATATGACATCTCTGGAATGGAAGTTGAAATGACTAGCTCCAAGCCCACCCACCATTCAGGGCCTCTTGAACACTGCTTCAGGTTCTGAGATTCCTCCAACCAATCTCTCAATTCAATTGAAAATTTTCTTCTCTGAGAATGAAGTTAATCAGGCCCACCTGGCTTGAAAGCCAGCCTAACTGAAGCTACAGCTTGTTTCTTGCACTCCCAGGCTGACATCTTATGCCTCTGGAGTTTTGCTAGTGTCACACTGTCCTTTTTCATTAGAAAACAGTGCAAAAAGGCATTCAGCACATTCCCTTTCATGATTATCTGTTTTCAGACTTCCCTGACCCCTGAGTACTGAAAAAGCACACTGAAAACAGTGCCATATGTATATTTTCAGACAGGGAAGTTTTTTATCCAGTTTGATTCTCTGTAAAGCCCTGTGTTTTCCAATAAAGAGCTTCACAGAGAACCAAATCAAGTATGAATGATCAGTAGAGGGACTTCAAAGGGCCAAGCCCTCACCTGTGCAAACACAGGCAAGAACACCATCCTGTCCCATCATGAAAGCACTTGCAGCATACCTGCTACCCCAGTTTGGCTTTGTGTGCATCAGCAGCTGCAGCTTCTGCTGAGTGAGGGAGGCAAGGAAGGAGATGTGTACCTGGTGCTTCTGTTGTGGGATAAGGGCTCTTTTCCTCGCTTTCATTGGGCTGATAATCATCCACGTTGATCTGGCAGAGAGGGAAGGAGAAGCATCAAAGGCTTTATCAGACAAGGCAGGGGGTTTTCATTCCCTGAGAAAGCCAAAGTCATGCCATCACTGCACAGAGAGAGCTGGCTGCCAGCAGACCTTACCTTGGTAGCAGGTGGGGACTCTCCATCAGCAGTGATCGATTTCAGCTCAATTTTCTCTTCCTTTGTCTCTTCCTCCACAGCTGTTTTTTCCATCTCCTGTTTCTTTTCGGGACTAGCAGTCCTAGCAATTTTACAAGATAAAGCCCAAAGAGTTACAAAGGTGCAAATCTGCTTCCCTTTCAGGAGCTTCATGTAGTACAACACACACCATGAGAGCAATCAGCTGCACCTTGTCCTCACATGCAGGCAAAGGCAGAAGCTCTGATCTAATTTTATATAGTTATTTCATTAAATTATTATTTATTTTATTACTTTATTTATATAGTTATTTTATTTTGTAGCTTTCATGGCGTGTGTTTGTGCAAATGCATGTTTCAGGTGTGTCAGCAGAGATCTCTTTGTTCACCCAAAGGCATGGATCATTTCCAACCCATACCTTGTGAGCTCCCAACTGCATTGCCTACAAAGGTTTTGCCCCTCACTGCACCCCTAGAGCGAGGGAAATCTGCTGAGCTGCATGCAGGATGAAGCAGAAAGAGCCAGGAAAACACTGAATTGGAATAACCAGTGTGGAGAGGCTTCCCTGCTGTTGGCAGCTGGGAATGACAGAGAAGCTCCTCACCCAGCTTGTGCCCCCTAAGTGTCTGCAGAAACACCAAAGGAACTGGCAGGAGAAGAACAGCATGTGGCACAGAAAGAGAAAGAAGCTGCTAAATCTCATAGTGAGAATGACAGAAAATATGTCTCGTGGCCCAAAGCAATGGGGAGATAGTGGGGAGATTTGAATGGGGGTTGACAGCATTTCACACTCATTCTCTGCTCTGAAAGCTCATCAGTAACCCAGACTTCCTTTCCTCTGCTCACAATACTGCAGCTGGAGGGGGACTCCTAGCTCACAGCTCTTTCTTGTCTTACAGTTGGAATTCCTTTACATAAAAATCTATATAGACTATATTAAAGATAAATATTTATGATATTGGTATTACAAAATATATAAGATATATATAATTCCATATATAATTGCATTAATCACATACAGACAAGTTCTATATATTACATGGATGTATAGGCATCATATTCATATTTATCCATGCTGTGTGTAATTACAGGAATGTGTGCAGGTAAGTGGGTGCAAATGGATTTACCTAGCGAGCTTTTTCCTTTCTTTCTCCTCTTCCTCCTCTTTCTGTGCAGATGTTAAACTCTCAGCATCAGCAAGGTTGTCCACAGCAATGGCCAAAAATACATTCAGCAGGATATCTGTTTGTGTGCTACTTAAAGAAAACAGGCTTTGAAAACTGCAGAGAAAAGATTATACCAAAGGTTCCTTAATTGAAAATTTTTAGCAACCTGTCATCAGATCTCTTGGATTTTTCCAAACTTCCATTTCACACAACTGCATATCCATCATGCACAAACCTACACCTTCCTTTAACAGGCTTTGTGGGTTTTCAACATTTCACAACAGAATGGCTGATGTAAAACATCTAAGCCCGGATTTACATTTTGGTTTCCAGTTTCCCAAGAGCGTCTCCCTTTGTGCAGAGAGTCCCACAGAACATAAGAGGAGTGCTGAATGCTCTGCATCTTTTGTCAGTTTAGGTTGCAGGAGTGGGATTTTATGGGCAGCAAGCACAGTACTCCAGAGAGCATTTTGGAGGTTAATTTAGTCTGGACAGTGAAGGGTTGAGCTGGCAGCTCTGCCATCTCCTAGCACAGGGTCCATGCATGGCCAGCCATGAGGTTTAGTCTGGAAACACAGACATCTCCCCCCTTCCTGGGCTCCAAGGTCTAAAGGCTCCAAAGTCAGCCAGCATGTGGAGCTGGCTCACATTTTCACAAGGAGATCCAAGCTGTAGCTTTTTTTTTTAAGCTGTCAGCCAGATTGCCTACCTTGACCTTCAGATAAGTGGAATTGCACCACCTCCTTTTGAAGTGAGGGCATGCAGGTCAACTGAAATGTCAAATAACAGGGTTTGAGAGACCTGAATTATGGGCAAAGGCCAGAAGAGCTGGGCTGAGTCTATAAGGTGGCTTTATAGGAGCATCAGTATAAAAGGAAATGTCACCTCTGACACAGGAGGGCCATTTATTAGGGAAGCAGAAACTAAACACGGACAAATTTGGAGCAAGCTGAGATAGGGAACAGAATGGCAGCTCCGTGTTATATGCAAATTCCTGTGAAGAGACACTCACAGCACAATCATGCAATGAGCTCTGTGCCTCCTGGGGTAAGCACAGTGCCCTCACTTCACCTTAAAGCCAGACAGAACTGAAGTTACTCAAGACAGGCTGGAAGATAACAGAGCACAAAATTTTCTGTTTGAAGAACACACAGATTGCAGGGACTGAAATGGAACACAGGTCCTGTTAGTTTATACATGAACTAATATATGATCTCACATAAATCAATTATGCCAAACATATGCTACTCCTGTTACAGCATTTGTATATAGCATATTGCAGATTATACATATTTTTATTCCACATAAGGTTTGGATGGCAGCACACTAAATATATTTCTAAAAAAGCAATTAAAGTAAAAAAAAAAAAAAAAAAAAATGCAGTAAGTACAGTAGGAACACCCAGAGATTAATTTGTGGGGAAGGCAGGAAAGAAAAATCTATGATAAAGGGGAATGAAAAATAAAAACACTAAACATGTAAAGATACTAAATAAAAGCTAGCATGTGGAACTGGCAAGTAGCTGGTTCTTACAACTGCTTGTATGCAATGAACTTGTTGAACTTTGGGCAGTGCAAAGCCAAAGTTCAGACCTAGGGAAAAGGCAAAAAACCTTGAGATGTGAAATGCACTATTTTCTGACATAACAAAGTGAATAGTGGTTTTAATTCATCCCCTCTTGCAGAAAAGAGTAGCATCAAAGGATACAGTTTCCACAGATGAAGAGGATGATGAAGTAAATACAGACCAACATTCCTGGAAAAGAGGGGCCGCCATAAGCCATGATCCCATCATACATCACCGAATTCCAGTCCTCCCCAGTCAGGATCTAAATGACACATTCCCACCAATAAGGGATACAGTGTTAGACCACACAGAGAATTTGAAAACCCCGTTAACACAAAGATCCCCACTGTCCTAGAGAACACCCCCTCCCCCAGGATGGAGCCCATGGAGACTCTGCCTGTGTCCATCTAGAACATTAAAAAAATAACCCCAAACAACAAACCACAGAACAAAGAAAATGCAAAGAAGACCTGTGCTCAAAGTGTGAAAAAACCCCCCAAAGAGTGTCTTCTTGAAGATGCTGGCTGAAGGCAAACAGACAGCTCTGTTCAAGTCTCCCCCTTGCTCCAGGCATTTCCATCCCACGTGCCTGTTGTTTCAGTGCCCGGAGCACTGCCCTCAGCACAGCCTCCAGGCCATTTCCCTTCCCACATGTCAGTGAAATCATGATCCTGATCCCCTTGGGTCACTCCCCAAGCTGCAGAGGGCCCAAAGGCCACGGGATTCCTTCTATGGTGCAGGTATTTGCTCCCCAGAGCGGGGAGGAGAGCAGCAGGGCTGGGCTTTGGCACACAGGTGCTGCCCTGGGACGTGGCAGTGGCTGTTCTCTGTCCTGCCCTGCAAAGACCCCGTGGCCTTGCAGCACCACAGGGGTTTTATCTCTGTTTCCCACCTTGGGAGGGACTAACCAGGCACCCTGCTCTGGGAGCTGGTAGGGTCATGTCCCATCTTGGGGCCTGTCAGGCTGCAGGATCTACCTTGCCCCGTGAAAATACAACGTGTTTCCCCTCGTGCCCTTACCTGAAACACAGTCAGGAGGGACTGAGGGAAGTTGTCAAATGTACTCCTCCTGGTCTGCATCTCATCAAAGTTAAACTTGCCCCCAAAGAGCTGCATCCCCAGGAGTGAGAAGATGATGATGAAGAGGAAGAGGAGCAGCAACAGGGAGGCAATGGAGCGGACTGAATTCAGGAGTGAAGCCACAAGATTACTCAGGGAGTTCCAATATCTGGGAGAGAAAATAGAAGCAGTTAAAATTCCTTCAGCTCGAGACAGGTGCTCATGGACTGCACAGGATATTGGTTCAGGCTGCCTTCTGTGTAAAGCAGGCATTTCCAAACACCCTGTTAAGCAGTGAATCATTGATGTGCCTCCCTAAGATAACGAGACCTACTGCAGCTAATGAGTAATTTTACTACCACACGTGTACATACACAATTCCCTCCACCCCCCACTCCACACACACACACACCCAGAAGATTATTACAGCGCTCTCCATCTAAGCCTCTGCACATCTTATATCAATATACAGTGATTAGTTCTTGCTGCTTCAGTGAGTTACATTCTAACCGACCTCATTACAACACTCGCAGATGTTACGGCAGCCAGAATACCTCACTCCAGAGAATGGCCTGTAATAACTAACGAGAACAGATGGGGAAACTGTTTGGATGCAAATACAAACTTGCCCAAAATTTGGAGTGTGTGAGCATGTCACTCACAGAGAGGTTGCTGAGCTCTCTGGGGTTGGGAGGAATGAGAAAGATTATTTTGCTGCTCCTTTCACAAGAACCCCAAAGCAAACTCCAGATCTACCTTCATCTGGATGAGCACAACATCACTGGGTTTTTTTGTTTTTCAAACAGGCTGCAGAAGATTTTCAAATGGCTTCATTCAAGAGACAGGATGGTTAAGACCTGGTCTCTGAGGGTATTCAGGCTTGTGCCCAGTTCAGACTCATGTATGATGCAGGGAGAGGATTTCTTGTCCTTGGGGTTCCACTTTAGGGCTCAGAGTGATGCCATCAGCACGATTGCTGCAGCATGCAAGTTTGCATTCTTTGCCAGCCTGCAGAGTAGTCACAAGCTGGAGAGAGGCTTTAGATAGAATTTCTAAATAATTCACCACACCACCCATGAAGCAACTTCCACTTTGGTCTTGCATCTGCCCAATCACTCCCAATCTTCTTCTTAGCTGGTCATGAGCTCCTCTCTTTCGTGCTTTGGGGCTGGCAGAGCTTTCAGACTGGGTAGAAGATTAGCTGTCATCTTCCAACCACCACATTGTGATGCACATTACCAGCAAATCCTCACCAGCTTTCACAGCTCAGCAAACCAGCAACGTTTGCTTGTGCTCTTCCCTCTACCTGGCCTGCCACCATGCTTTGAGAGTCCACCAAGGCCAATGCCCTCCAGTCCCTTCTCCCACAGCCCACAGCTTTGAACATTTCCTCACTCATAGGACTCTGTTTCTAACCACATTTGCCCTGAAGACAAAAGTTCCAGGTAGAAAGGATGACAGACTGGTGCTCTGGCTCTCTCATGGAAACTTTATCCTTCAACTCATCATTTTTTTCCTGAAGGCAGTGTATATATTCATTAGAGTCAAGGGTTCTTAAAACCCTAGTTAAAATAATATTTTTAAAATGTCTATCTGAAAAGAATTCTTTTCTTGTCCTGTGGAAGACAGGGCTGCCTGAGCAGCCCAGCCACTTCAGGAAGATTAGCAATCCGATCTGCAGAGGGACATCACCATGACCTCTCAAGTTCAGCAGTGGGTTCATATCCAAGGACTGAGCTTCAAAGAGAGCTGTGATGTTTTCCCTCCAGCCCAGCTTCAGCACTTCAGAGCAAACCAGGATGCTTTAAAGTTTAACTGCAATTAAAGAGATGAGCAATGAAAAGCTACAGAGCAAAGGTAAGGGCATGGAAGCTGTGGGCTCAGTGCCACCAAATATCCACACGGAATGTGCAATGTAACAGCTCCCTGTGTTTGCAGTTATGCTCACAGCTCACATACTTTCACACTTTGGGAAGAAGGCAAAGTGACACAGGAGAAGGGAAAAATTCATTCTGATGAAAGTCAAATGAATTCAGCATCCTTAAAGCAGAGGTTGATGGGCTCCAGAATATCTCCAAGTCCTCCAATGTCAGGCAGGACACACATTTTCTAGATCTTTCTAGCACTATCCTTAAGAAGCAGTGAAGCTGTTACACATCTGAACAGTGACAGTGACTCAATTTAAGCTTAAAGGCCTTGCTATCTCAGCTCACAACTGTGCAGACTTCTACCAGTTCTGCATTTCTTACAAATGGCTCAATACTTGGGATTCAGATTCTTAGAGAAGTATTGAACTTCAAGCAATTAACTGAGATGGTAAGATTAGTGCTGTTCTATCTGTGTACTAGTGCTAGCTAGAATGATAGTACCACTAGAAAAGTAAATAAAACAACCAGGGGGAAGAAATGTAGGAAAAGGAGAGGGTATGAAATGCTTGACTTATTAGGATGTGAAAATAACAACAGTCTTATCTCAGGGTCCTAGAAGCTTCACCGAGGTTACCATCTGTCACATTTGGTGGGTGCAGAACTAAGGTGAACTCCCTCAAAGTGAGATCAGGGATTACTCAGTGAAACACAAGGGTTTTATGTCAGCAGTGCTTGAAGCCCAAAGAAGAAGGGTCTCACTACTTCACCCTCTCTGGTTAACACCTTACTAGAAAGGAAAAATCAGCACTGGATGCTGGATGGAATGGGAGGTTTTGGACCAAAGGCAGCTTTTGGTGGGAAGTATGAGAGAAAGCTGCCTCAGGTTTATGGGGAAATGAAGGTGCCCCTGACCAGCTCCCAGCAGAGATCTGAGCCCTTGGGGGTGCCAGTGAACGAGGCTCTGCAAAACCCCAGGTGAGGAGGACCTGGCTGTGGCCCCTGTTTCGAAGTGGAGGAGTGATGCAGACAAGTCAAGGGGTTTCTTCAACATCTCACCCAATAACCGGCTGCAGAACTGGATTGGAACTTGACGTGTTCTACTGCCTTCCCTCTCCTCTCTCTCCACTGCCCTCCACTAAATCCTCATGATCACATCTCCAGCAATCACAGGTGCAGGGCTTAAAACAGCAGCAACAGCTGGCAGACTCATTATTGGAAAGCTTCCCACCCTGTTCACCCAACATAAAACCACTTTGACAGTGGTTTTTGACAGAAGGTACAAAAAATGGGGCACCCTGTCTCTCCTCCCTACAATTAACAGTGACTTACCTAGTGGCAGGATTAGGTATAAAACATCAAATTCCTGTATGCTGTTGCAAATGATATAATTTATTTTTTAAATACAAAGGACTATAATACATTTAAAGCAGTAAAGGATTTTTTTTGAATGAGAAAATAATCTATCTTCTCACAGCAAAGCGAGGTGTTCTGCACAGAACTTTAAAAATTAGGGAGAATAAAAGAGATCACATTGTCTGCTTGTCTAATGTATTTATAATTTTGGAAGAAATGTTTGGTCTTGAAACTCTAAATGGTGTTTCTAAAATGATGCATTGTTCATCTTTATTTGTTTCTGCTCTATTGTGCAGCTATTTTTGTGTTTCTTGTAGAATTGTATCATCTTGATGACCCTGAATTGTTTGTGCATGGTGTTTACCATGGAAAACCTATGCAAATATATAAAGAATAGTCTACCTACTGATATATTCTCACCAGAGTAATTTTCCTGCTTTGTACCTTTTTAATATCCTAGATTATCATTATTCTCCCATTCACTGTATGTCCCCTTATGCTCATGAATGTATATTTGATATAAAACATGACACTACCATTCCTCCTGCCCCTCCCAGCTTTCCAGTGTTGCATCTTTCTGAGTTATCATTACACTCATGTAGGGCTGATAATGTCATTAATAAATCCTCATTGTATTTAGAGCTGAGTGAAAAACAGAAAAAATTGTATTTTACTAGAAAAGGTAAAAGTTTGGCTTTAGTGGCAAAATATTCCGTCCTGCAGAAAAAAGGCATGGGTGAGCCTAAAATAATGCTTTAGGGGCTCGTGTTAGGGCCTTCCACATGAGGGTGAACTTCAGCCACAGAGGGAAGGATTATGAAGAAAATGATGAATAATTACAAAACATATAAATTTGAAACTACTGCAGCCTAATTGTCAATATTTTAGGAGTGAGAGAGAGAAAGAGAGAAAGAGAGAAAGAGAGAAAGGGAGAAAGGGAGAAAGAGAGAAAGAGAAAGAGAGAGAGAAAGAGAGAGAGAAAGAGAGAGAGAGAGAAAGAGAGAGAAAGAGAGAAAGAGAGAAAGAGAGAAAGAGAGAAAGAGAGAAAGAAAGAGAGAAAGAGAGAAAGAGAGAAAGAGAGAAAGAGAGAAAGAAAGAAAGAAAGAAAGAAAGAAAGAAAGAAAGAAAGAAAGAAAGAAAGAAAGAAAGAAAGAAAGAAAGAAAGAAAGATCTGATTAATACATTATGCATTATGAGTTCTTAGCTCTGTGCTTTACACACAGACCCATGCACAAAGTGTAGGAGACATATTCCAGGTAACATTTCTTTCAAGGAAAAAAAATTATTTTAGCTGTTCTGCAGAGTGAAGGCAAATGTAGCCAGTCCTGCTGCTGCTGTTCCATTGTCACATTTCTGCCAGAAGCTTTGGGAATATTTGAGTACTCCACTAGCTCAGGCTTTCTAAAGTATTAATTATATTCTCTCAGTGTTTGCCTTTCTATTAGAGAATTCTCTTAGGTAGCTTATGTATTTCGTGTAGGAGTGGAGACATGTCTTGGAAAAGCAATGACCTCTCCAGGATGCTATGCTGAAGCTCATGCTTTTATAGCTATTTTGCCCTGGGTGTATCTGATTACCCAGTGCCTGAAACAGCTACTGCTTTCTTCAGAAACCAGGCCTGGGACTTGGTCATGGCTAGATCCAGGAAAAACAGTCCCCAGAGCAGAGATCCCCACTATTTCTGACAGAGCAAGGATGCCTTTCTTGCTGGAAACTTGTTTCCCCTCTCTGGGAAGGAACGTTCCCCTCTGGAATGTTTCTTCTATGATCACATGTCCAAGCAGACCACTTTTTTTCCCCTTTTTTGAAATGGTTGTAGGCTTGCTTTGGCCTCTCTCTCTGAGGCTGTGAACTGATTTTCTGTCTCTGCCATCTGACCTTGAGATCCATCCATCCTGCCAGAGATCTGAGCCTCAGAAGCTCTCAGGGCAAATCTTGTGTGATGCACAAGTCCAAGACTTGTTGTTTTTTTCTGCCTCTCAGCCCAGCCATTTTGACTATCTTCCAGTTTTGGACTTGTTTTTCTCATGTGCTGTGTTTTCTATCTCTAATTTGTCAGAAATTTCCTCTGACAGGGGGTGTTACAGCAGTTTTAGGGACAATTCCATGGCTGAGCATGCAGAAAAAGCACTCTTTCACCACCTCAGCCAAGGTTTTTGTGAAAAAAAAAACCACTGGTGCCCACACAGGAAAAGGCAGACCTTGTGCTACTTGGGGCAAGAGCTTGGACAGATTTGTTGCAAGAGCTCTGGGTAAGTTTGGAGCTGATCTCTCCTACAAACTCCCCTCAAGGTGGAAAAGCCCTGCCAAACCAAGCTTGTTTTGGAGGTCACTGGCTGAGCAAGCAGTGACTGTTTAATAGATATCACCATGCCTTTATGCAAAGAATGGAAAGGGAAAAGATACCAGAAGCTGGAAAAAGTCTGATTTCTTCATAAAGTTTCTGCTTTGTGATGGATCCTTGGAAGGGGAATAGCTGGCAACATCCTTTGCCTGTAGCTGCTGGTGTTGACACAATCTCCCACTCAGGTCACTGTTGAGTCTACTGGAGCTGGCATGGGCTCCCCAGTCAAATGCTGTTTTTCAAAATGCTTTTTTCAAAGCAGCCTTTCAGGCTCCTCTCTGTCACCAAAGAGGGTCAGAGGAGGCCACAAGGCTATCTGCTGTTTTGGTTTTCTTTGTCTTTCGCAGAGAGCTGTGAGAGCCTGGGCTCACATCACTCCAGCTCTCAGTTTAACGCTTTCCATGGTATCAGGTGTCTCCAGACCCCTCAGCACTCACCTCAGGGGTAGATGTCCTGTCAGTACAGCCCTCCCCACCCTGTTACAGACTTCAGAAGATGAGGACTGTTAATTTAGCACTCCCACTACCTAATTAGTGGCAGAAAGAGTTAAGCAAGAGTGACTTGTACCCATACATGTTGTGCATTGAGCAGAAACCCCTCGTCCAGCCCCAAAGAAGCTATAAAGTACCTTGTGATTTTAAATATCCTTAGGAGCCTGACACATCTCAAAACCGAAATGCCCAGGGGTGACATGATCTTTGTCTCCACCAGGATGGTTTCCAGGATGCCCCCGCACACGATGAAGCAGTCAAAGCGGTTGAAGAGGGACACAAAGTAGGCCTGGAGACCGAGGCTGTACATCTTCAGCAGCATCTCTGCCGTGAAAAGAGCTAGCAGCACCTTGTTGGCAGTGTCTCGTGGGAAGCAAAAAGAAACAGGTTAAGGAAACTCAGTCAAAAGATCATCACATTGGCCCTTGCTTCTGAGAAAGCATTTCAAGGACCAGTCTTAAAAGTTATCTTCGTGTAAGCTTGGGTCAAAGAGTGAACTTGGAAAGCGTGGGCATCTCATTCACAGAAATGTTTTAGCAGGAGGGTTACAGCAATTCTTATGTACTGCACATGCAGCTGCAATGTATTACACAACCTCCAGTGGCAGGGACACGCCTTCCTGTGCACAACCTGCCTTCACACCCGTCATCTGCAGAGCAGAGTGGGAATAGAAGAGCTGCTGTGCTACCTACTGTTGCTTAATTAAGCCTTTTCAGCTGCTCTCACCTCCAGAGAGAATTCAGCTGTTCTGCAGACAGAAGAACTTGACAAATCTCTCTTTGTCACCTCCCTAATAATTAGAGTTTATCATAAATGCCATTTCAGGGGAAACCCTGGACAATGTGGGGCTCCCAGTAGCTATCCATAAGTTGGGAATCCAGCTGTTGCAAATATAAATTTAACATCAGCTCCTGATTTCACTTACACCCAAAGGAGCAATACTTTGTCTGGAAAGGAGGTATTCATATTTTTCCTATAACTTGTCCCACAGCAGGCAGATAAGTTTATTGCATTATTTAGGATCCCTCCACAGACACAGGACTGCTTGGAGCCATGCACTCTCCTTTTACACGTGCTTTAATGCATCAGCTCCTCTCTCAGCTCCCTTTTTTTGACACCCACCATCACAAACAGAACCAGCAGCTCCTCCTCACCTTGGACCTCTGTGAGCCAGTCTGGCTGGTTGTAGTGCTCAGAGGCAATGGTGAGGGTGTTGAGAAACACGAGGAAGATCACCAGCCAATAGAAAACATTGGACTTGACAGCAGCACGGCACTTCCTCCTGCAGAATCGGTTCCATCGGCGCCAGTAGCGACTTGAAAAATGGAAGAAGGGAAAGTTCTTTTCAGAGAGGGATCTTTAGGCTACTGCAGCTCTCTGTCAAAGGAGAATCTAGTCCTGATTTGTTCAAGAATGGCAGAGAGTAACCCATGTTTACCCTGAGAAATCCTCTCTCATCTGAGCTGACACTTGTGAACATCCCTCCTGTAGTTATAGAGATAAAGTTTGTCCTAAACCAATTTGCAAGAACTTCAAGCAGTATCTTAACCTGAGTGAGGCATCCACTGCGGAAAACCCAAGAGGTTTTTTAGCTCAGTTGCCACAAGAATGAATATTCTCCTTTTACCTGATGCTTGTGGCCTGCAAGGGCACCTTGCCCAGCCTCAGGATAGTCAACAGAAAGATGCTCTGTCACATGGAGCTGTAGGATTAAGTCTTTGGAGACTTGAGGTCAAATAAAAGCCAAAGAACATTTCCAGCATGCAGCAACATTCAGGAGTAAGCCCAATACAAGGGCTAGTTCTGAAAAAAACCCCAAACTTAGGGGACTTCAGCATCTCACCTTCATGCCTGGAACTAAGGGTACCATTTGCTAATCAAGAGAGTTTTTAAAGTTTGCCTTCCATGAACACATCCCCTTGTGTCACTGATTTCTCAGGGTAATTACTAACCACAGAAGATATTTAAAGCTAATTACACACCTCCTACTCTTCAGAATTTAACTTGCATAGCAACCAGTTTCCAGGCAACACTTGCCACTGTATAATAAATCTAATAGTTTTATATAGATACTACATATATATGTGTGTGTGTCTGAAGTGGCACACACACACATGATGTTGCAGGAGGAAGAACTTTTCTTGGCTGCTCTTGTCCTCTGTATCATTTTCAGTGGCAAACTATTGCCATGCCTGAGATCAGGGCTCTCATCTATAGGAACTAAAGCCAGATCACATAAACACAACCTGAACAGGAATTTTGCAGCAACATTTTAACAGGTGGTCAGATCTAGGGTGTTTTACCTATGTAATTTATAAAGACACCCAGTCTATCACAAACAGATACCTTGTGTGTTTTGCAGTGGATCTGGGACAAGAAATAATCTTCCCAACTTCCAAAGTGGGCACCACGCTTAGACAATTATTTTGTCATTAAAACTTTTGCAATTGCAGTGCTTTTGTGCGTACTTGTGCACAAATGTGCATGCACATGACAATGTACAGTGTTTTCTGTGCTTTTACCTCCACTCTTTACAAGGGGATGTCACCTATGTGCTTCCCAAACTGACATTTTTAGGTAAGCAGGACCAAGTTATGCATTTCCTCCAGTTATTCTGAAAATTCATTTAGTGTTTTATAAAACTGACTTTGAATCCAGGGTTATGGAGGCAGCTGAGCTCCTACCAAAGGAGCAGAAATGAGTTCCATGAGTTTAGTCAGCCTCCCCAGAGAAACCCCAGAAATTGCCATCTTGGGACTGCTTCACTTTCCCAAAATCTCGAAGTCAACAGAAAAGCAAACACCACCAGAGAAGCTCCCCATGGCCCAGGGTGAATGGAAGAATTTCACAATTAAATGCCAGCTTCATCAGTCAAAATCTTTACAATCAAGCAAAGCAGAGAAATTCAACCAATAGAGCCTTGAGCTGACAGGATTGATGTTGATGGATGTAGTAGAATTATGTGGTTGAACTGGTTATTTTATTTCTGATTTTATATTTTACAGTTTGAGATCCACAGGTAGCATAGATAGGTACTTCAGTAGTCCATAGTCCCTGTGCCTTATTTCAGTGTGAAACTAAGAAAAAAATTATGACTAAAATCTGACATAATTCACAGAATCTCCTAGAATCACCACTGCATCCATGCTGGTATAAACCCCTTCAGAACAGAAAAAAAACAGTGGAAAGGAGGAAAAGCCAAAACCAGTTTTACTTACCTAAATTTTGATTTTGAGATCCGATGCCTGAAAGACAAGAATTGCCATTAGACCTCTGAAGCTGCCCCTCACCTCCCAGGCTTTTGTGAGAACAGCAATAGAAAGAAACAAAGTTAAGCTCAATGCTTTTTTTTTTAATCCATGCTGTTCTCCCCTTGCATCTGTGGGTAAGTCAGTCAGTGTGGGCACTGGGCATGGCTAGAACACCCCAATAACCAAATCTTGTGCTTTGGTGGGACTCATGAAGCAGAAATCACGCCATGGTGGGATTCTACCACTACAGATATCAGTGAACTCTACAGCCTCTCAAGTATGACTTTTGTTTTTTTTTTTGTCACTATTTTTTTTTCCTTATGTTAAAATATGTATTTTTTTTACAGACAGATTTGTTGCTCTCACACATCACCTGTCACTTCAGGATCTATAAGCACATTATGAAACAATAATGGTGAAAACAATGGGGCTTTTTTTTTCAGTAATTGAAGGAAAAGCCGTGCATGGCAAATAATTTTAAACTTTGATACTAACACTTACTTGCCTTGGTTATCTTTGTAAATTGATTATACAATAATAGATTCTGTTGCTATCAATGAAATTTTGAGAATTAATCATTCCTGAAAATATGGCCATATTCCCACTATATGTGTGTTTAAATACCTAATTCCATGCATTTGGATTTATTCACCCAAATAATCTCATTAATCTTTTAGGAGGAGTCACAGGCAAAGCTAGAAATTGGCCCAAGTTCTTAAGCCACTACCTTGCTCTGCTTGGCACGTCCTGTGAGGCCTTTGAACACTTTTTGGTAAATCCATAATGGTGCACAGAGAGAAATAAATGGATGTGGATACAATGGTGTGAGTCAGAGGTGACTTAAGAAGCTGCAAAACCTACTACCAGTAGCAGCAGAAATGAGAATCTGGGGAATGACTATGAAAAAAAAAAGGTATTTCTGCTGGGTGGAAGCATTCCTTGAGGTTCCCTCTGTGACGAGAAAGTGAGTCATTGTTGTCAGCAGTCAGCAGAGGCCTTACTGCACTGCCCTAAAACTGGATTCACTGTTAGCAGGGATGGGAGAATGAGATTCCCCAAGCATCTCACACTTCTCACTCCAGCAGCCTTGACAATGGTGCTGTCCCTGCTGGAGGACATCAGCCAGTGACAAGGAATCAGCCACAGGTCGTGGAAGAGGTTTTAGTCAGGGGAACTTTTCACCAGCAGATGGGCTGAGCCAAAGGAAAGAAAAAAGCCTTTGTGCCAAACACCCGAATACATCATCCCTGCAGTGTCACAGGCAGCTTGTCTAGGCCACACACTGGGCAGCAGTGAGGTTACAGACACCTGCAGGGCTCCTGAGAGAGAAGAAATAATGCTCTGGCAGGGCAGAATGCTAAATTGTGCTGCAGAGACAAAACAAGATCCAACAAAGATGCCGAGTGAGGCACCTACAGAACACATCCTCAATGTTAAAGCTATTCCTGCTTCTCACTGAGAATTCTGGCTCGGTAGTCACTACCTAGGAACTGCAATGGAGCAGATTTACAGGCAACAGGAAGGAAGGCTCGGAGATGGGAAGTGAAAAGATGCAAAAATCACAAGGAAGCAGAAAGCTGAGCACTGGAAAGGAGGTGGTGAGGATTTTGGTAGGAATAGTTTGGCAGGGAGAGAGGGGGAGAGAGAGCGAGAGAGCAAGAGAGAGAGATGGGAGGGGAAGGACAGGGAGTGTGAAACCCTCTGGTGACCTCTCTGGTTAATGGTTTCTCGGTGAGGCAGCACTGAAATCTTTTATTTATTTAAGCAAAAGAGATGCAGCAGGTGTAGTACTCATCATGCATGTGATAATTATATCTTTGGAGCATTATGAGCAGCAGCCAAGTGCATTCAGTGCTCCCACAGGTTACCTACAGCCTTCATACCCCTCCCTCCACCTTGCCTTACTGCTGTGGCAGAAGGCTTTATCACATGTGGGTGTGCTATATATATAGAACAGGACAAGGAAGGAGGATTAGATTTATATTTAGAGGTAGAATCAGAGAGTGAAATGGAATTTTGGAAATAAACTCTATAATAAACGTTTCTGAAAACATTATGCACGAATCTGAAACACGTTTTTCAAATGACTCTTATGTCATTTGAAATAAAATTTTTTTCAGGACTTGGATTACCAATGTCACATAAAAAAAATGCTTTTATAGCATCAGTGGGAGCTGTCAAATAGTCTGGAAAAAGGGCTTTGCTGCAGTGTCTGTGACACTCCAAGCTGGCACTTAATGGGTTCAGAGTGGACCAGATTCTCTGCTGTTTAAAGTTTAAAGATGGATCTGTTGCATCTCTGGTGTCCTGGGAGGTTTATGTTGTTGGGAGAAAAAGGGTGACTCCAATTGTGCCCAACTCTGGAATGCCTGGAGAAACTCTTGTTTAGAATTATGATACAGGAGCCTAAGGAAAACCACTTCAGATCACTACTGAGTGCTTTTATCACAGGAACCATGTAACTCAGCTTGTATTTGAGAAAGACAAACACAAAAATCAGATTGCTACTGTTTGACTAGCTGTCTTTGAAATTCTCTAGAACTCCTCCAGCCTTACACACTTATGTACAACACACAGATAAGATGGTGAAATTTAAAGGCTTTTATCAATGTGAATTCTGGATAATCAGCACAACTCAAATGTAATGAGATATCCCACATTCTGAGAGATAAAGTCTTCATTTCCCTGTTCATGGTGGACACCAGAGAAGGTGTTTGTGAAGGATGTGACAGTTTTGTGTAACAGGGATTGAGGGCTCTGTGGAATTGTACACACAACAGACGACCCTGGAAAAATTTTGTAGGTCACCAAGCATGACACAAAGGCCACATTACAGTTGTTTTCTGGGTGTGGACATTATCAAACATGGCCATTATCTAACTCTCTGGGTCAGAACTGCTTTTATATTGTATGATCCCAGCTTAGAGGCAACCAGATCTTCATAAGGACTCACAAAAGCCTTTGGACACCAGTAAAAGCTAGCAGAAAACACAGAAATGGACTTTACAAAGCTTCTAGGTTATATACAACTTTGGACAACATCTAAAGAGCTCCACTGGCCATATCTTACAGATTTTAGTGCTTCAAGGAAGCAGTCCTGGTGTGATTTGGATCCTGTTTTGGTGCAATTCATGCAGTTACTGGAAAGGTGGCACAATAAGAATCTAAAGAATAACCTTAAGAAGATTGGATCTGTCCAGCATAAAATTGAGTTGGTTTGCTATTCAACAGGCTTTCTCCAAGGCTGGGAAAACAGGCCAGCATTTAAGCATTCAGTAAATAATCCTGCTCTCCCTGTGGCAGGTCACAGGAAAGGCCTGTCACAGAATCTGAAGCAGGAAGAAAATTTCTCTTCCATAAGGCCATGCTTTAGACACACACCCAGAGCTGACTGTGAATATTAAAAGCACCTTGCTCATAATAAGTTGGAGAGCAGGATCTGCGACTGACACATAAGGGCTGATCCTGTGAGTTTTCCTGCTGAAGTCAGCAGTGGTTTCACAGCTTTTGGCAGACTTTTCTTCCCACTGTTCCTGATGTGATGGGAACTTTGGTTGAATCTCCTCATAAAGTGAAAACCAGCAGCAGCTACAGCAAACCTGCAAGAAAACTTTTACTTTTTCCACTGACCCTATGCTGATTGTTAAAAGAAGTGCACAGGAATTAATTTCCATGCCAGAAAAGCACCAAGGGAAGAATCACTGATCACTCAGCTGCCAGGGATTCAGCTTCCACTGCTCATAAAATTTTCAGGATGCACTGTTTGCAGTTGGGAAGCCAGTGTAGGTTGTTGATTTTGGTTTATCCTGTTTTATTGTTTGAACTGTCTTTGGTGGAACAGCAATTGAGCTGTCCCCCATATGTATGGAAATCCTGGCCAAGGTGAAAATGCCAAGTGGGTTATTGTTTCAATGAAAGCAGATAATTTTGAGCTCTCTTTCCTTTGGAGCTCAAGTGCTTTACTTTTCTGTTGAGGCTCTATGGAGCATTAGTTTCCATAAAGGTCTTTTTTTCTTTTTTTTTGAGCTAATGCATATGTATAAAAGCAAGCTCTATTGTGGCACTCCAGATCTGTATGGTTGTGTTAGAAAATTAACATTCTGAATGTATTAGAAGATTACATATGCTGTCACCCTGCACAGAACAGATTACTCCTGATTATGAGCAATAGCCTGTCCTCAGGAATCTGAATCCTGCACAGCAATAACCCCAGAGGCTCAGGGAAACTATTGGGAAGCCCTGGGTGTAAGAATATCCTGTACACAAAACCCTGGCTCTGGGTTTGTCCCACTGGTGCCTGCTGCAGAGGAAACGTGTTTCTTCACACCCTGAGTCAACAGGTTATGAAAGCTGTGACCTGTCAAAATAAGATAAGTTCCACTTCCAAATGCTGTCCTTGAGGATAAAAGCTGGTGTGGTCCTACTGCAGGGCAGATGTCAGCCCAGTACAAGGCAATATCATGACAGGAATAATATACTGTGGAAGCTGTGGGATGCTTTTCAGCGTCCTGTGGAAGCCTGCAAAACCATTTGCAAATTCAGATGCCTGATAATGTGAATACCCTTAGGAAGTGAACTGTGCTGGGCCTCAGCACTCCTGTCACCAGCAGAATTACACCAGAAATGATAATGAATTAAATTGGGGTTTGTTTTTGGTTTTTCAGGTTTTTTTTTTTTAATATTTTTAAAATATTTATTTATTTTTATTTTATTTTGCTATAGTTCTACACAATTGGATTTACACAACAAGTAAAGGCAGATCAGATGTTAGATTCCTCCTGAAACTCCTGCAGGTTTGAAGGCTGGCATTACTCCAGACAGGACAGTTGATAGAGGCAGTTTCTGAGGCATGGATACTAGAGAAATAAAAGCTTCTTTGAGACAATTTATCAGTAGGCAATAGTTTGTGTTTGGGAGGTACTCTCCTGATCTCACACAGCATATGTCTCTGTGGAGCTGAGAAAGGCTGTCAGGGAAGATCTCCTTTTCCAAAAGGCATATTTGAACCTGGCTCCTCAAGCAGATCTTTCTGTCAGTCACAGACCCAGCCTTTCAAAACCCTACAGACTTTGAAAGAATAGTGAGTTATTCTAAGTTGCCTTCAATGAAAAAGCTTTTTCTTTCAGTCTCCTGGGCATCTCTTTCCTTTTATCACGAGTCAATTTTGATGGCAAGCTCAGCTATGTTACTGTGGTGGTGGTTAAACACCCTAGGCAGCCTGATGTCAAGAAAGAAATAAATATAAATAAATATATTGCCTTTGTCTTGAAAGCCCCACGTTGCTTCAGTCTGGTTGAGGCCTGCCCAGAGCAGCCTCTGCCCTCTGGGAAAGGAGCATTTTTACAGCAAAGCAATGGGCACTCATGGCCACGGGGTGAGTTTAGAAAATGGTAAAAATACTGAGACTCATCTGCCACAGGTGAAAATCAACAGTCCAACAAAAACCTTGGCTAACCAATCCAGCTGTGAAAACAGGGAGTAGGTGACTGCTCAAAAGTCCAGGCCTAATCTTCAACTAGAGCAAATCAGGATGGCATGACTGTAATTATTAATGTTAGCACTCAAAATCTAGTACTGAGGAGGAAGTTTTTTTTAAAAGTTCAGCTGATTTTCCACATGAATTTTCACTCTTCTTGAACACTGGGGCAAATCCTGATTCTCAGTCAGGTTTCAATAAAAGAACACACTCATTCAAATAAACTCTTGCTTACATTTTATATGTTCCAGAAGGAATATTGACCTATTGGGGAAGGCTTGAATGAGGACTTAGTAAAAAGAAGAATACTTAATACTTCTTGCAAAAATGACAGCTGGTTTCTCTGCCTGAGTGTGTGGTACAGTAACAAAAGAAACCAGAAAGGATTCTAAGCCTCAGAATCAGAGGCAGGTCGATAACAAGGGAATTTTCAAATCCACAAGTTTGAAACAAACATTTTACAAAAGCAGGCAGCATCGGTTAAATTTGTTTCTCACTCCAGAATTTGATATTCAATGATACAGCCGTTCATTTTCATGGAGGAAGGGGCCTATCCATCTCTTAGAGATGAAAACAATCTGAGGGAGGCCTTGAGGATCTCAGCTGTCCTTGGGTAAGGACTAAACAACCCCTTCTCAGTAACAGGATTCAATTTGCCTACTATACATCACCCATTTCCAGATGAAGTGAAAAGTGGCAAGGAAACTGTTTCTCTCTCTGAATCTTACGTTCAGCCCTGCTCTGCTGAAACTTTGGACCCTGTTTTAACATTTACAACAGGAGAAGAAGAAATGGAGCTCTGCTTTTCTGTAATTTTCCTACGTCTCTTTCCCTAAAATATATTTGGCTTAGCCATCCCTTCTCCTCATGCCAAATCAGGGTACTGCCATTCTCCTGTGAGCATGCTGGGCTATTTTAAGTAAACTCCATTCTAAGTCATGATTACATTTAGAGTTGGGTTTAACTTCAGCCCTCCTGGCCACATTCCAGCTAAGATAATTATGTTCTGATTGCCAAAATTCCCAATGCACTTTCAGTGCAAAGCAAGTTATCCCTCACACAACCCCTTAAACACTTGTGCCTGTTGTTTTTAAACACCTGTCACATTTTACCCTGAAGGTGGCTGAACTCTAATGCTGTGAAAACAATCCCTGCATTTACAGTTCATAAAGTGCTTTAGGATCCTTTGAGATTAAGAACATTAAATGAATGCAAGATGTAATATTAAAAATACATGAAACCTAGAGTAACTGCTGCCATTCTTTTTGGCACTGTGTCCACACCTATGAGGGACTTTACTACTCTGACATATTCTGGAGAAGCAGCACAGCAAAGCACAACCAGACCAGGAGGTTGCTGGAAAGCAATGATGACAAACTTCTGACACAGCCAGATGAGCCAGGGTGGTCCCTTCCAGCCTGACCCATTCTGTGATTCTGTGAACCATAGCTGCAGAATTAAAGATGATTCTCCAGAGGGGATCCAGCTGATGCTTCCTGTACTGTGCCAACAGCACAAGCAGCTTGGTGGGGTGCCAAAGAAAAAGGCTACAACTGCCCCAGTGCTGTGGATACATCTAGCCTGGTTCCTGCAGGAAAAGGTTCATAAATCTAAGCTAAAAGACTCAGCAGGTTCCCAATGTCAGGTGAAGGAAAGTGATCACAATTTCTCCTGGGGTGTGTAAGTCACTGACTGACTCTCGAAAGCAGAGATTGAAATTACAACATGTTCCACATACCACATCTTTTAATGAAGATCACAGAATCACACAGAACTGACTAGGACGGAGAAGACCTTTGAGATTATCAAGTCCAATCTATGACCAAACACCACCTTGGCAACCACACCACGGCCCTCAGTGCCACATCCAGCCTTTCCAATCCCCTGCAGGGCTGGTGACACCACCAGCTCCCTGGGCAGCCCATTCCAATGCCCAATCACCTTTTCTGTGAAGAAAATCACCTTTTCTGTGAAGAACTTCTTCCCAATGTCCAAACTCCACCTCCCCTGGCACAGCCTCTCCCCTGATCCCCTCCTCTCCAGGCTGACACTCCCAGCTCCCTCAGCTGCTCCTCTTGTGTTCCAGAGCCCTCACCAGCCTTGCTGCCCTTCTCAGGACTGGCTCCAGCCCCTCACCATCCCTCCCAAACTGGGGACCCAGGACTGGGCACAGCCCTCGAGCTGTGGCCTCACCAGTGCCGAGTACAGGGGGACAATCTCTGCCCTGCTGCTGCTGCTGGCCCCACATTCCTGACCCAGGCCAGAGGCCATTGGCTTTCTTGGCCACCTGGGCTCACTGCTGGCTCGAGTTCAGCTGCTGTCACCAGCACCCCCAGGTCCCTTTCTGCCTGGCCTCTGGCCAGCCACTCTGCCCCCAGCCTGTATTTTCCTGGATCCTCCTTTCAGCTTTTTAGGTGGGTGTCACATTGTCCAGCTTCCAGTGGTCTGGGACCTCCCTGGTGAGCCAGGACTGAAGATAAATGATGGAGAGTGGCTTGGAGAGCTCTTCTTCCAGCTCCCTCATCACCCCAGGATGGATCCCATCCATTCAAGCAACACCTGAAGGCACCTCCAAGGACAGGACAGAGCCTCAAAACACTCCAGTGTGGTACAAGCTATAGCACTGATATGTTTAGCTCATGTGTCAAGGAAATTTGGAGGGAATAATGTATTGCCCCACAGCATAAAGTCCATTCTTGTTTAAAAGGGAATAAAGGACTCCTAGCTCTCTGTGAGGCTAAAAAACACACCACATATTATGGCATTTCATAACTGCTATATCACACATTCTTGAGCATCTTCACTAATTACAATGGTGTAATTTCAGTGAGGCATTGATCCCTCCTAATTGTTGTATTTCTTTTTCACTGCAGTACTCTGTTCAGCATCTGAAGGGTGTAATTCTGTCTGCAGGATGGGAGTTACCATCAGTGTATTTCTATTACAAGACACTGTAAAGTGTACAAGAATCTTTAGAAAAATTAAAATAGACCAGTCATTTCCACTCTTCAGTCTACATATACTGGTTTTGAAAGTCTACCACCAACGAGGAATTTTAAAATAAGAACACTGTTATCCACCAGCTCCTCTTTTAGATATTATACAAAACCAGATCTGCTCATCCTGGGCCCTCTGTCCCTTATTGATGTGTAAAATGAGAGGCTCTTCACTAATGTCCAGAGTGAGTTTACATGGAAATTAAGATAATGGATCTTCTTTGGCCTTTCTTTTCACCCTCTGTGGGTTTTGTTCGTCTTGAAAAGGCTGACTCTTGTCCTGTCTTTCCCCCCAGCACGTTGTGTGTGGTACTCACGCCAGCCTGGCGCCGCAGTTCTCGCCCTCCATGTCCGCTCCGGGGACGTTGTCGGTGTTGACGGACTCGGTCTCGCTGGTGGGCATGCTCACTGCAAGAGTCAGAGGGGAGAAAAGCAGAGGGGTGGCTGTCAGAACCTGGCACATCTCCTCACAAGTGCGTGGCTGAGGGAACTGGCCCTGTGGGGAGACCCTCAGCTGCAGCTGCTGAGGATTAAACAATTTATTGAGCAAGTCTAGTGCCTCCCTGTACAGAGCAGGTAGGCTTCAGCAACAAAGCTACTCAAATGCTAAAGAAAAGGCAATAAGCAGCTGCTCACCTTCTTTCAGAGCCAGTTCCTGGAAATTTTGAGAATGAGAACCACTGGAAAGTAAAAAACCTGACAGACCCAACAAGAAGCTTTTGTTTGATTCCACTGAACATTTTAGAAAAATGTCTCTTTACTTGCAGCAGCCCAACCACCTCACTGACCTCCCCAGTCTTCTGTGCAGTGGTTAGAATACAAATAGAAGGTACCAGGATTGAGATGCACCCAGATAAACAGCTTCTGTTAGCCTGATAGCAAACACCACATGAAGAATGCTCATAGCTCATCTGTCATTTACCAACCATGAATGTGATTCAGCCTTACACCTAGAAACTGGAACCAGAGGTATGAGAGAGAAATTCAGACTCCCTGATCCACTCAGATGTTACCAACAAAGGAGCTAATGAATGTGGATTATATTCATTATTTAAGATGTTAAGATCTTTTAAGATCTGGACAGAACCTTCTAGGTTTTTACAAAGTACCATGGAACATCAAATTAAAGCAACCTTGGGTGTGAACCTCTCTCATCTAGATTCAAGAACCTGTTTCTAGCTGTTATCAAACCTCAAGATTTTATTTGCTTCAGACCATAAAAAAAAATCCCTCAAACCCACACCATTTTCATTTCCCCTGTTGCTCACAGCTCCTGCATAAGCTCCAATCACTCTTTATCCATAATCCTTCAGTTAAAGGTAGGAAAATGGATAGAATCCAATATGTGTCCTGTTCCCTCCTCACCCCTTTTGGAATACACAGAAAAAAAGAAAAAAAAAATATACTTAAGACTGAATGATGGAGGAGTTGGACAGATCTCCCAGGAGCCTGGTAGAACTTCAGAACATGACCTGTGTTAGCTGTTGGGTACATGTCTCAGGTGAGGCTCGAGAGCAAGTGCTGTGAGCTGTTGGAGAGATTTCTAATAGCCTGCAGGAATGTGTAACTCAATAGCAAGAATCTGTCTGTTTCTGGGTCATTGGTGCAAAATGAGCCAATGTAGAGGAAAGAGGTTCAGTTTGCAGATACTCACTGGGACATGGTCTTTTTGCAGGGGTTAAAAACACATCTGAAGGTCCTTTGAAAAATGTTCTGTGTTACTGCTTTGAAAGCATTATGGTAGAAGTGTCTCTCAAAATGAATTGTCTTTCCTTCATCCCATCACAACAATTCACATGCTTCCAACACACTTCTTGGGAAATCTAAAATTCTTGTACCATGTTCTTAGGACCACATGAAATAATGGACTCTCTAGCACTCCTGACAGAACTATGAAATATTGTACTCTAATGGTGCCTGCTCCTTTATGAAGACAGATGTTTTAATAATCTTGTCCTTTTGGAAAGACAAATTAAGGAATAAACTGAATTCATGTTCTGATATACATGAAACAGCCAAGTAAGCTATGAGAAAAAAACAACATTCATAATTAAATTTTTTTTTTTTTTTTGTCCAGAGTAAGCCCTGCAGGAACAAAACCAAAACGCTGATATTTCACAAGTCAGTTTGGAAGATGAGGTAAAACACCTTCAAGACATATTTGAGCTTATTCACAAATGGAAAAGAGTTTTGAAGAGATTTGCACGAGATAGATTTGCAGAGCAGCTTGAGCACATGAAGAGGACACTGCACAAGCATCAGAGCCAGGAAGAGCCATGCAGGAGAATAAAAAGCTGATTTATAGGCCAGTCTGCACAGAGATGTACGGACACACGGACACACAGACACGTGCAGTGTGGACACAGAGCGCAGTGGAACATTACCATGGCTTTCTGTGGAGTGACTAAACCAAGCAAACTTTCCTTTCTTCTCATCAGGCAAACCAGCTGGAGGGCTTCCTTTCACAGACAAGATGGTCAGTGTCAAGTACCAGGAACAAGACATCAACAGAGAACATGCAGCCAGTGACAGGCAAAAGAAAAAAACAAGGAACTCAGCTTACACATGATATCCACTTCTGGCTGAAAACTTCATCATGTGAGTTAAAAGTGCAAAACAAAGGTATACAGAGGTATGAAATATTGCTAACAGATCATCAGGTCAAAACTCATTTGTTTTCTGCTCTTTGTTTTGTTTTTTTTTATATCTGGCTCTTGAGGACATGAACTTAATGGATTTAAGTTTATGGGTCATGTCCCAGAGACGTCTTAGAGTGCACCTCGTACTTCCCTGACCTTACTGCTGCAGAAAGTCAAACCTCAGTAAAGTGGGAGATGCAGGTGCAGTGGTCCTTGGGCTGAGGAGACCCCATGGATCACTTTGCTGGCACCACCTCACAGGAGCTCATCACACTGCACCGATGGAAAATGTTAAGGACAACCAAAAGCATTAGGATGCTATGAGGTGTTAGAGGAATGATGGTCTAGAGGATAAAGGTCAGGACAGAGGGGACACTGGGGCTGAGCTCCATGTGCTCTCAGAAGCACAATCACTTCACCTGGCACCTCACAGCACCCTCATTGCCTGGGGATAATCAGGTGTGCAGTGCTGCGGGCTTCATTCAGGCCACTCAACACAACCAGAAAACAGAAGGTGCTGCAGAAGAGTTGTGCATAAACTGAATATGAGAGGAAGTAGACCCAATATAGCCCAGATGGCTTTCTTATCTGACTCAGCTCTCAGAAGCCAGACCCTGTGCCCACACCCTGGCTCCAGTCTAGAAACAAGGCAGGCATTTCTTGCAGTCCGGGTAATTCATCACTGGAGCCATGGACCAAGAATGCTGGTGGTAAATCCACCACAGGAATGTTTTAATCAGGAAGAGATGTTTTTTCCAAATGGTGGGCTCAAGTCCAGACCAGAGTTGTGTTTAGGACTGTGGCATACAGACAATACCATCTCAATGGCCGTTTCCTCCCTGTAATTTTGGGAGCTGAGACAAAGGCAAAAAAGATGCAAAGGCTGATACAAATCCTAGTGACTTGGCTTACATGGGAATCTCCTTTTTTCAGATTTGTCGCTGTATCCATAACCCACTGGAGTTGATGAAATCCCCCATCAGTTACATATTCTCTAGGTAGCAAAGATGACAATTTTTTTAAAGGGAAGCGAAACAACTTTTTAAAGGCAGGAAAGTATCTCATGGATTCAACAGAATGCAAATCATAGGGACCAATAGGTTTGATATTCTCTCTCCAGTTCCTTCTGAAGCCTTTGCACTTCTTACATCTTGCCACAGTGTGGCTCATCACTGAATGTAGACTTTTTTTTTTCCCTGCACTACCTAATCCCCAATTTCACATCACTTACAGAGCGTTCCTGCAGCAGTTAAAGCAGCAACAAAAGCTACACAGCAGCTTCCTCAAATACAAATGTGAAAAATGCTTCCTGCTTAATTCTAATTCTTAATTCTTAATTCTAGTCCTTAATTCTAGCTCTGAGAGCTAACAGACAGAGGAAAACAGGGGCAGGTTCTGCAGCCTGTGGCTGACCAGACAGATGTGCAAGACCCTTTGAGAGCCTCTGCTCCTTGTCACTGGCATCAAGCACTGATACCAGCTCTCCTCTTGCACTAACATATGTCTCTCCTCTGATGAAATGCCCCATGGGCATACAGTGAATTATTGGATGGCAGGTTGCCAAAAGACAGCCAACCACTGAAAGAGAAAGCTGGCACAAGCAAATACCCTTCTGTGCAGTCCTGGGATGATTTTTCCTCCACACATGTGGAGAACAATATTTGCTTCCTTGTTCAGGAATATGATTTCCACTGTCACATCTTGCATTTATGAAATGCTTGTCATCTTGGCTGTGGAAGTAATTTTAATATTCAGATTTATTTCCATGGATTATATAATGCTGTCACGCTTCTTGCTGGATCTCACTTTGATACTGTGACATTTTAAGACTCAGAAGAAATCATGCTTGGGCAAAGGGTTCCCAGCTCCAGAAACACAGACAAAACTTACTTTTCACAGATTTTAATGGGACATTTTACTAGATGACTCTGCAGATCTGGGCACTAATTATAAAAACTGGATATATCAGAGGCTGTTCACATTGCCTCTTTGATTTAGCTGTTTGAGTTAGGCAACAGAGGCAGATTCCTACCACAGGTTTTCTGAATGCCATGTTGATGTGGCCCTCAGTTCCAGGGACAGGCTAAAAAAAGATGTCTATCTTACATTCTTGGGTTAGGTACCTGACATGGAACAGAGTGACTATCCAGCTGTATTCACAGTGAAAGAGCCTTGTGGTGGGTTTTCAGATATAAAAAAAAAAATACAATACCTTTTATTGACTTTTATGATATGTTCATTCAGACTCTGATTTCTCCAATATGCCAATGTCTATGGGAAATTAATTACTTTGCAAAATATGGGTCAAAAAAATCTCATTTTAAGCACACTGGCATTTGAGGTCAGAGGCACCCAAAATCCCACCATTTCACTTTATTGTGTCACCTTGGCCCTATGACCAAGCTTTTCTAGATACCTGTTCAGTTCCTCTGGCTGTAATTGTGCACTCACCTTGCCAGCCTCTCAGAGAGGAGCAGATGAAACACATCACAATGAGTGCTAAGCACTACAGTTATTACTGATGCTAATGTCTCCCAAGCGGGACTCTGCACAGCTATAAAGCAAATCTAAAGAGCAAAGCAGTCCCGTCAATTCTCCAGCTGGGATTTAAGATTTCTTTTCCCATCAAGCACAACAAGAATAAATTGCAATACCCAGGCTGCTTCCTTCAACAGTATGTGCATCAAGTGAATGACTTTGTCTCCAGCAAAACCCTGCTTCCCGTGGTGCCTTTCATGCCCATCATTTCATGAATGAGTCTTTGGGCAG